GAACCGCATTCAATTACGATTTGATCGTATAAATTATTTGAATTAATTCAAATTAATCAATTAAAACTTTTTCAATCGCATTAGAGTATCAATTATCTGTATCCACGCGATTACATTTTGGAAATCGCAGCTAGTAGGGCTTCCAAATACCACCGCGGTTTACCAATTACAAAGCAAAATATGCCCGTAATATCCGAGCTTATAAATATTTGCGCCTCAGCGTAAACACCGCTGTGGCCAAATTTGAAATTTAGCCAATGTTCGACGCCATGCGTTGACTTCTCATAAACTATCCCGTGATTCTTGATGTATAGTCCCTGGTTTCTCGTCATTTTTTTTTCAAATTTTTTTCATAAACAAATACTCAGGCCCGATAATAATGCAGTTCTTGTTCAGCGTCGCGCACATCGTCGTGACATCATCGAACGCGCGCAAATATGAACATTTGTACCGATGCACTCGTTAATCTGCACAAGTTGATTAATTATCACGTCTCTCGTGCAGCGCATATATCGCTCGTACAATGCGAGTTAGCCGATGGGTTGTAATGGATGCAGCGCAGAGCAAACTTGCATCGGTCTTGCGTTACGCGAACTACCACTCATTACGATCATGGGAATGCGTTCGCTCGAATTTGCGGTCGAAGACAATTTATCGGGCATCCACAACGCGATCGCCTGCCGAAGAGCTTCGTGCAAAACAAATTTTTCACTACTCGGTAGGATTAGTTGCGTCCAAAACACGACTTTGTGGTTCGAAACTAATGCATTATTAATCGCACATAATTTGCATGCAACGCGGTGCGTGTTTTTACACTTTTTTTCAACGCTGTGCACGCATGTTTGCAATGCGTAGGGGGAAAAAAACATCGAATAAGTTGGATGTTTTTGCGACAAAACAATCAGCATTTGTATAGTAATACCGCGTTTGATATCGAGCGACAGAAAATGATTATAAATGAGTCTCTGTTGGCAATTCAGAATGCTCCATTTATTTCTCATAAATATTGCACAAGCTCGACTTGGCGTTTTTCTCATGGTAACTCTCACTCTCGGCCAAGCTGTCGAGCTTGAAAAATACGCGCATTTACCGGGGAAAATGTTGATCGCCTCGCTATTTGTGTGCGCGCGATCTCTCGATTATACGAACGATATACAATCGTGGCGTCATGAATTGAAAAAAGATTAGAATTTCAAAGATACGATGCATCGGCAAACGAGAGATCGAGAGTCTGTAGATTTCGTCGTGCATTATATATACATGTGTATACAGAGTGCAGCAGCAGCAGCCGAGAGAGATGCACGTAACCGAGCACGTGGCTGCGATGACGCGCATGTGCGTATATAGCCATAGGCCACACATTTACACGCGCGCCGAGGATAGCTTCGCGCGGGATAATTGCACCTGCATCGATTTGGTCTTTGTGCCGAGAGAAATAATTAGTCGACGCTACGTAACGAGTTTACCTTTGTGGAAATACAATAAAAGCCAATACATATGGCACTGCGTTATATGTAATCCGACATCATCTGCTATATAAGCGTTGATAGAAAATTTAAGAAAACGAAATATTCTATAGATACATCGCGCTTGAGGAAAGTGAATCGTCGCGCAAGGCCCCCGTGCAAGCGTATTCATAATTACAATACGGAATAATAAGATCCATGCGTGCAGTATGTAGCACTGCCCCCCGTATTGCGTAATCGAAATCTTCATAGCCGAGCGATGAGTCGAGATGTGATTTCGATCCAAGGTTGTGAAGCTGCGAGATTCGCGTATATACACATTTACAAACGAGGCACAAAATCATCCGCAACACTTTTGAGGATAAAATTCTGAATAACACCACACGGTGTTTTGTTTTTTTGTTTTTTTGTTTTTTTGTTTTTTTGCCTCGCGTTCTCAAAATTTCCATTAATCATCGAAATTTTTATCGTGTAATAATTGCTAAGCATTCTGCGGCTTATCGTTTTAGTTCGACAATAATTTTCCAAGTCGAGAAGTTTCGCTGGGAGAGCGAGCGAGCGCGCGAAATGATGAACGGCGTCACGCGTCAAAACGCTCGCGCATAATAACGACTGGCTTCGATACGCGATATGAATTTCTTATATATACAGTCACACATGCAAACGATTGTCCGTGTTTGTTTGTTATAAAATTTGTTTGTTTGTGTAACGAGCGCGCGGATACTTTGTCTTATCGATAAAAGCGCGCCCAAGCTCTCTTGAGATCAACTTGCCTGATAAGCCCCGGAAAGACGGCGCTGGTATTAACGGAAAAAGAGAAATAATAAATCTGATCGTTCCCTACGATTCGCAGATGCAAATTTGACGTGACATCGGAATAATTCGCGCTAGAATCGGTCGACTGTTGATATACTCACAAGCATACACAGTGCGCGCGAAGAAAGTTAAGCCTCTGCCGACAGTTATCGCTTGTAATGCATCTGTATTCTGTTTAAATAATATACATATAAGTAGAGGGTCTCCAGTGTTCGCTCACATGTACTCGGCAAAATAAAGAAAAAAAAACTGTGACCCAGAATCGACTTCATTCGTGCCATGTAAATCGAGTCATATTAAAGTATAAATATATGCGGCACTCAATTTTCCTCGTACTTGCAGCGCGTATGCTCCGAGTTTCTCATATGCTCCAAGTGCCGCTACAGCATAAGAGAGAGAGAGAGAAATACAAATTTTTACTATTTACATTTCTACATATTATATGCGTGCGACCGACGTAGTTTCTAGAATAAATCGGAAAAATTGTAGCAGAGATAACAATGTATCGGCCGTGAAGATTATATTCGATGCGAAATCGAAGTCGACTTAGCGCACAAAGTCGTGTATGTAGCGAATAAAAGTTGGATGCGGACACGAGTTCGTACATATATATGCAGCGAAGAATAATTGATGGCTGATTGTACAATGAGGATTGCCTTGGAAAACGCATAAATTTTTTAAGCTAGTATTTACGATATAATTTTGGGAGTTCCCCGACTCAAAATTTTTAATGATCGAATACTTCGAATAACCAGATATCTCTAGATTTACATCAATGATCCAGGAAAAAAATGAATTGTGTGGACAAAAAATGTCGTATGGTTTATTAAACATTACATAATGTCAATAGACTTGATGAACTAGCTTGATGTATGTGCACAAAGTAAACAGTATCCGTACTACTTTTTTACATTAGAGAAGAGCTAGGCGCTCGGTTAATCGATAGCAAATGTTGCTATAAACAACGCCGTGCTGTGTTATGTAAAAACCATCTTTTGTGTCGATACACCAATCCAAGTATCCTCGTTACTGTATATTTTTCTAAATTGTTGCTAGGTTTTAAGAGTCAGTGACAACGAAATCATTACGAGGAAAATTACAACAACAAAAAAGAAATGAAATTGCTCTTAGACGTCTTCCGTCTCAATTTCGTTGCAAGACGATATTCGCGGATGTAAGCGAAATTAGAGAGGGAAAAGTGAGAATGGGAAGCTGCCGAATAGAAAAGAGTGCAACGCTTTGCTCTTTCTTTTCTTTTGACATCAACATATCTTGACTCTCTCGACGGTGTGAACGAAAAAGGAAATGAAATTTGATCACGAGAAGTATTTCTGCAAGTTTTTTGAAATGTAATGTGGAGATTTAATTAGATGTAACCGTTACTGCATTGTTAAAAAAATAGCAAACAATGAGAATCGATCATCGAAAGCTTTTATTTTATCGATATATAAAACATGCGATTGTTTTTACAAAGGCTAGTGCAAAATAGGAGGATGACATTTAATACACACTCAAAGAATCATTGATTTTATTTGTTAAAAAATAAAAACAGTTGTACTTTAATCAAAGTATTGACAGAAAATCTATAAATAGTTCTTCCAAACTCGTAAGTAATCAGTTTTGGAAAAAAAAATCAAATAACGCACGTCTAGGTAATTAAATACGTGTCTGTGCTACGTAGGTAAACAGCGTCGCGCCGGGCATACAACTAAAAGCTCAAATACTGCAGTGACCACTCCCACCTTATCCTTGCTAAACGTATAGCCCAATGCGTTATACACACAAGCGAAAACGAAATCAAAATATACATTTACACGAGTGGACGCAAAGGTATATGGGTTGGCGTTGGTCAGTCGATCGACGTGGAATAATTGATAATGTACACACGAGTTGGAAAACATTAAGAGTAAAAATTATACTTGCGCATTAATGTCGTCTGGCAGGCCACGAACTACACACTCGTGCTGTGTATAACGTGTAGCTTCGACGCTCTCTCTCTCTCGCGGAGGGACGAACTCGTGCGCGCGCGCGGGGGAGTTTGCGCGCTTTCGCTTTCGTGCGCGCCAACGCTCTCCCTTTCGCAAGCTCGATCTAACACCCACACACAAATATGTGGTGTCCGTGTGATATCGACCTGTACAAAAGGAGCCTCTCCCTTGGACGCGTAGCGCTACACACGGCAGGAGCCGAAGAGGGAGAGGAGGTAACTACGCCACGAGGTCAGGGTGAATAGTCTATATAAACTCACCCCCTCCCCGCGATCACGCTTGGCGCCGAAAATTCCGCTGGGGGGGTGATTGATGGACTTTTACTACGGAGGGTAGGCACATAATGCCTTGCCTTTCGAGCTTTTTTTATACTCTCGAGGCAAGTTTAATGGTGAATGAAAAATAAATTAGCTGGAATATTGTTGATACAGAATTACCAAAGGGGAGAAAAGTATTTTTTTTTTTTTACAATTTTTCCAGCGCGATAGAGTGATTATCATTAGATTTAAATTATGTTCGTAGCCAATCGATAGCATCTTCCTCGTCATCAAAATACACCGGATAATTCCATTACTTATGTAAAGCACATATCGTTTCGCGCGCCGTTATAAATCATGATTCTTGTTTTTCAGCCTTGGATCAGTTTCTAGCGCACAGGCTCTGCCGGCGGTATTAGCAGAGAGTCTGACTGATAGGGGGGTTGTTTACAAAAACTCGGTAAATAACTTACCTCAGCAGGTAGTTGACGCAGACGACGGACTGAGGCTTTTGGGAGCGGGCGCAATGTATAAGAGTGGCCTGCGTAACGACCCAAGCATAACCTCCAGTTTTGTTGAGAAAACGGTAAGACATTGTTTCACACTGGCCTTTATGAAACACTGGAAATAAAATTTATTTTTCAATTGTATGTCAATATAATGTAGTTGTTAGGAATGTTTGTTTATAGCATTAGAAAATGAATCATAAGTAAAAAAATTATTATTTAGCATCTTTACACATTAAAAAGTGTCTACGATCAATTTTACCAATATAATTAAAAGTATATTATAAATAATATACAAGTATTTTGCATCAATAAAGTAGTTAGGTAGATGCTGATCAGTTGAAGCTGAATTTTCATAGAAAGATAATTCGTAAAGCATTATCTTTTTGAGAATTTACTTTATCAACGAATGGTAAGAGGATGAAAAAGAGCGACGTAATCGTGATCATGAAGTTTTATCCACTTACATGATTTAAATGATTTATCGAGAGACACGTCATCAAGGGCATGGTGAAAATCAAACAAAGATTGTCCCATCAATTCACTTCCATCCCAGCCAAGGAATTCAGTCAATCTACAATAGAGTATAATAGTTGTTAAATTACAACTGCAGTTATATTTGAGAAATTAAAAGTGATGGAGAATATTCACGCTAATTGTATACAACATTTGACAGCACTATCAATAATAGAGGCAAAAATGCGCTATAACCAAGTGGTGTAAACTTTAAAAATTGAGTTAAAGTTCCGAGCGAAAGCTCCGTAACGTATCAAAGTAAATATTTTTTTTTCAAACATTAACAGATTGATACGTAGAAAGCATCATCGTCGTACAAAGTCCAAAATTGACAAACAAAGTTAGCAAAGCTGTGTTTGATATTCGCGTCTCAAAGAATCAATAAAATGTAAATATTATAGCGTATTAGTAATTGTGCGCATTGAATAATGTATGTGCAATGCAAACAATGATCTTTGCTTATACGAAGTTTTATAATTTTTTACACGAACTTTGCAGAAATAAAAACTCTATCTATATATCGTGAACGAGTCATTGTCTTGCCCAGTCATAATAATATAAAATTGCAAACGCCTCGCTGAATCCACTCTAACAATGTTGCATTCAATAGCCATAATATTTATAACGTAGATGAAACATTTTACTAACTTATCGTCGGCGTAGGTGAACTTCATATTTAGATTGTGCTTCGAGAGGAAGGTATATTTGCCGAGCGCAATCTCGATATTGCTTGGATGCGGCACCGGCGAAGCCACAAGAACGAGAAAAGATTTCGGTGGTCCCTTCTCGTCGCCAGATCTATCCTCTCTCACTGGGTCATCAACAACAACCTCTTCGCTATACGTAATCGTCGGATTATTGTTTTCATCGTCCGAGCTAGTGGAAACGAGTACGGTCCTTTTGTGGGCTTCGGTGTTTTTCACGTAACGTCCCGTGCAATGTATCACCTGAAATAATAAATAATATTTATATCAGATTATTCTTGGAGTGATTATAGCTTTGACGTTGAATATTTCTCTATCGTATTTAATATACAGAATGGAAAAAAGCCAATTGATGCCAAATCGCTTCATAATTATTATTTGTTATCTTTTATATTTGATTGTAGACGCAAGCGATGTTATATCAAATCAATACTTCGAGGTAATTTTAAAAAAGTCCGTTTTGCACCATTGCAAGTATTTAATTTTTAATTTGACGATTTGTTGAAATACTATTATAAAAACAATGCCAAATTGTTTCTCAGTTAATCGTGCTTGCGGTACTGAATTATAATTTAACATTGTCTAAATTCATTATAAGAAACAAAAGATGAAATGAGCTAAAATTGTTGAAAATATGTTTGTTTCATTGTTCATGATCCGCATATAATCGTTCATACGGAAGACAAGACGTAAAGACGATTGATGCACAGTATACATACATTTACAGAGAAGACTCAGTCTTTATCAAATGTTCATTGAAACCAATATAGTATTATCATTATAAAAGAGCATGTAACTCACTTCATTAGTCTTTTACTCGTCCGTCATATGTACGCTCTTATTGATCTTTGCATTCAAAGTGAATTAAAAGAATATCCTATCAATGGGATATGCAAAAATTTTTGCATTGCCTTCATGGATTGTTCAAAAGTTTAATGACCCAAGATACTGTGTGTCAACGAACAAACGTCTCACAAATAAAGTTAAATCCCGGTTTCTTGACGAAAACTCGCAAAATAAAACCACGTGTTCAAGTTATTCACGTTGTAGTGGAAAGTTCAAAAAAAATCGAGTAGTGCCTCGTTTTATAACAATAGCTTTCTGAATGCATACAACAATGTTTCGTCCAAGATTGTTATTTTCCCTGCGATTCGCATCTTCAAGTAACATTCAACATAACAACCACAATAATTTATTATGATTGCACAAAGTCTCAAGTACACGACACGAGGAAAATATTCAAAATATTTATGAAGCGATGAAACATCGATCCAGGCATTTTTTTTCATTTTTTACGTCAAAAATAATCATAATAACGATAGAGAAAAGAAGAGAAAAATACAATTCTGATGTTCTGCACACCTTATATGAAGCGCTCTTGAGATTGACCTTTCGACCTTTGCTGGTGAGAGTACATTTGAGTCTGAGAAATATATTACAGGGATTATCCTCACTGATCTCCGATGACTTGAGTGAGATGGACTCTCTGATCTCTTCGTGGTCGCATGGATGGCTGTAGTCAAATACACTCTGACCCATAAGATCCATCTGGAGATGCAATAATCGCGGTTAAGTCATGTAAATCATATTAAGAAAAATAAAGCAATAAAAAAAGTAACTTACCTGAGCGATACCCAAGTAATTTTTCACATTTTCCGAAAGAAAAACCATATCACCATTGTTATCTAGGACCATTAAAAAACCATCCAAAGCTTTTAGAAATAATTCATCCATGTCCGATGTCGATTCAGTCTCGGGCAATGATTCCATCACTGAAATAAATAGAAAAATATATTAAATTATTGTCTATTGGTAGGTCTCCCATAACATCTTACATCCTAAAATTTATCATAAAAATATATGCGAATCAACGTAATAGCCTATACAAATGCTTATCTAATGATTCTTCATCTTTCCTTATCTTTGGTACTAAAAAGTGCCAGCCATTTATGTACTTATGTAGATTAGCTAGACTTGTTAAAGAAAATAAATATAGTACAAGTTTTGAATACGGAGAAAATAAAATTTGACTAATTGGGTAATAAGCTGATAGTTATCGTGACGTCATTATGCTTAATCGGCTCAGATAGGGTTGGTGTATCTCAAAAATTTGTTAGCTCAGAAAACAAAATAAATTGTATAAGTATAATTTAAATTTGCCCGATCTCAGCAAGCTGAATAATGACCTCAATGTATTTTTTTCACAGCTATACAACACGTGTTATATTTTGCAGGATGATTATTACATTTTTCAATCATTACTACTACGATAATTGACTAATTCAGCAAATTTTTTCTAATAAATTTAAAGACATGATAATTGATTAATCATCGAAAGTGTATCTGATTTTATTTAGATGAATACTAGTAAAGTGTCGATTAAATAACAATGGAAAAAATTTTTGATCGTTATCAGACAACTTTTTAGTATTTGAATTACGAGTATTATCACGTGCCTGAGCAGCATTATCAGGGTATTAATTTATGGAATGTATTTTTGAACGAAGAGGGAAAAATTTTTTGCAAACGTTAGAGAGTACTATGTAATCGAATGGAAAAATTAAAGGTTTAGGCTGCCTTGGGATGAAAAATATTAAGGGTAATCCCAACACTGTCCAAGTGCGTGATCTTCTGCAGACGTAAATTCGAATACACATAGAATGTGTATATAATTTGAATCTCGGTGCTATATGTGTGTAATATTGCTCGTGCTCTTGATAACCAGTCAAGGATGCGGGTACGTAGGATAGAGATACATTAACGGTCCGCCGCATATGCACACATAGAGCACATGAGTTGCTCAAGTGAATTTTTTTTAAGGTCGTATCTATGACTATGACCCTAATAAAGTCAGTCTCGACACTATGTAGCTTTTCGAATAATTGCGCGATCTGCAGATCGATATGTCGCGACGCAATGAGTCGTTCCGAGGTAACAAGCCAACGCTACAATGTTTATGATTAAGAGTCTAAGCGACATCGATTAAAGGAAATATTTCATAAGTAACTCCTATAATAAATATCGCTATATTACGCAATATCTTTAAAAAGTGTCTGATTCGCTAAAAATTGTAAAGTAAACTTTTGTCGATGAGATAATGAAATTTATAGTATTTACGAGGAATCCAAATAAAAATTCTGATGCCGAGTTTTATTAGCTTTTCCGAATGCCAGTAATATTTTTTAATGCTTGCAAGTTTACTGTACTGAAAATTATCACGAATAGCCTATTAAATATTTAACATGGATAAACAATTGTCGATCAATTCCATAAGCAGCATTTCTCAATCTGTTTCGCTGAAGATTAATGAGAATCAACAAGTCTTTCAAACGAGGAAAATCAGGATCTATAGAGTAGCAAAACAAGTTACAAAATTATTATTTATCAGACAAACTTCAATTACGCATCCGTGCAATTTATTAATGATACAGCGCTCTTTTGCTCGTCAAGCGATCTATTACATGCTTGGCGAAAAAAAAAAAGAAAAATAGTATTTTATGTCCTCGATCAAGTATCAGTCGCGTCATGATACTTCGGAAAATTTAAATTACAGTCGAATTCCGCGTGGAAAGTAACGAAGCGAGTCAACGTCGCGAAGCGAAAACACGCATGTGCTAGAGCGACGCGAATCAGAATTCGAAGTCCACAAAAATATATAATGAATCTCATTGTTCCCAATAAATAACGGAACGTTCCACGACCAACAGAACTTTTTATGCTCGTCTGTGTGGCGCCGAAGCTATAAAACAACATCGACATATATATAGTTTCCACATTTTTGACATCTTATTTTTACAGCGTGTGAGTGCCAGTGCCGCGCGCAAACACTTCAGCGAGACGCGAACACCGAGGGCGTATTCGATTTATGCACCAATTACCGAGCTACGCAGCTGTCGCAAGAAAACAAGTTGATACAAACTTGCAGATATTTTCAAGGACCTCGAGAGATGTTGCTGTAAACGACAAGTTGCCAGGAAAACCGACGCGTAGAAAGTGTACACACACGGTAAATGATTCGCTACATCGATACAAATAAGCATCATACACATTTTTTTCTCGTATATAATCGAACGGTGAGTGACAAAAACATACACTTGTTGAAAGTTTAGTGCAATTGTTGTAAAATAGGGTGTTAAGGCCAAGGACGAGATTTCGAAAGAGCAATCGAGCGGATAAATTGAGACAGTGCGGGCAAAAATTGTACGCATATTATAGGGTCGTTGCATGTACGATTGCACAATAGCTGTTTTCGCGAGTTTCTCAATTTGAAACTGGCTGGCAAAAATATGCAAGAGCTTCGTTTATCGATACGTAAAAAATTATTCAGCCGTACAAAAATTTTAATTTTACATTATGTAAAAAATGGATAAACGAGTTTTTTTTGCAAAAAGAAGTATAACTAAGATTTAAATTTTCTGAAAATCAAGACTTATTTCGGTTCACCGTATTAATCTGACATCTATAAATAGAATGAAACTCAGAACCAGTTTTTCTTTAAAAATACCAATAAGGGATTGATAATTTTTTTCATTCTTCAAATTATTAAGCAGGATCATAAATATGTACTCAAAAAGTGTCTCTAAAATAAATATTAAACAATTTTTGAAATATTATTTTTCATTTCAATGAGCTTACATTCTTATTTTCTGAACAAGTATAAAGTCACTATCTGTAGATTGTATGTCATTTTGCATTCTCAGAAGAGTCAAGAACCCAACACGTCTCCTTTCTCTTTTCTCAAGAGGACTACCAAAAAGTATCTTCTGTTAATACAAAAAAAAAAGAAAAAAAAAACGAAAAAAATAAACGAAAAAAATATCAAATTCGGTTTATACCAGTTCATCGCGAAACTGGTCTCGAAATTCTAAAAAAAAAGGAAAACGAAAAAAAGATGGAGGAGCGATCACGTGTAAACGAAGTAAATAAAATAAAGACGAAACAATGAGCGCTGAACTTTCACCGCATAACAACTTTACGTACCTGAACCGACAAGCTGGCGTGTTTTGACGTGAGCTATGGCGAGTCTCATGATGCTGGCTTTGTCAAGGTGCGAAACCTCGCCCGCCGGTACCGGCAGCTCATCCGCGAGATCGGCGTAGATGCCGGACTCGCGATATCGGCGATTGCGCGCAGCATCTCGTGACTTTTCCTTGCGCTTCTCGTTACTTCTGCAAATGAAAACAAAGAAAAATGTACATTAATGATCGAAGTTTATAATGAGCTAATTTTTAAATGATCACGAAAGTTTTAATTTGTTCGGATTGCATAAGAGATTATCTAGGCTAAAACTTTTTGAGACTCATGCTCTTGATTCTTAAAAAAAAAATAACATTATCTTTAAGACGATGGTCGCAGTGAGAATTCATTAGATAACGCTTAAATATTAAGAAATCACACATAACTCGTCATACAATTAGTTACGATGCATACAACTTTTCTAATGACTATCAAATCTCTTAGTTTGTTTCAATGTTAAAATGTTACACATCGATTGAGAATATTAAACACGAGGTTTTGTATATCAGTGGACGAACGATGCACCGACACTTTTATTGCATTGATTTTTTTTTAGAATAAAAAATGAAGAAATTAATCGACACGACAAGGGAATTATCGATAATATGATTAAACTCTTTTGCCGAGCAGCTACGAAAGATTGTATCGGTCCCGATTGGTCAATATATACAATGTAAAATTAACGCATGTTCGTCGGTGCATTCTCTCCCATATTGATGGCTAAAGTAATCGGTCATTGCAGGGGGATAACGAGAATGAAGTATAAATAGGTGCTCCCCGATGACGGATCAACAATAATACTATTGAACTTGCACACACTCAAGGGGTTACAACGACGCATTTAGTCGACTCTCGATTTGTTTTATCTTTCACTTGTTTTTGTTCAACACGCAACGAAAAATATGCTCATTATTACAACGTACAGGTACTCTTCCAAAGCGTCTTCGTCGTGCAAGTAATAATTTTGGAAGCTCTGAGCGCAAGGCAAGGCCTGCCACGACGTCAGAGGTCGCTGCGACGCGTCGTAAAGCGGACAGTAGCTCGTCGCCGGACACGCCATCCATCTGTCGTCGGTGCAGTAATTGAAAGCTGCCTGCTCGACCGTCATGGACGGGGGGATGAAGGGCGGCGCTTGATTCAACTGCGCCGGGACGTAGTTGTTGGGATTCTGGATGGGTGGCAGAGCCACGTGTTGCTGCGCCGGTTGTTGCGCTTGACACGAGTAGCCGCAACCACTGTTAACACTCGATGGACACTGAATCGGTTGCACCGGATGTTGTTGTTGCTGCAGCTGTCGTTGCGGAACGGCATAGTTGCAATTTGGAGTAAGCTGCGATTGGCAAGTATTGCCGTTCGATTGACCCAAATGATTGTAAAATTTGCCGAGATCTTCGACGTCTATAGTAACGCGCTTAACTGGCTGCGTGTAATTGCTATTACTATTCGATGTCGAAACAACACCGTTAACCATTGGCACTTGCTGCACTTGACAATAATTGTTGGACGGCGCGTAAACTGCACTATTGACACATTGCACTACGCGTGGCTGAGCGTAATGCGGCGTGTCATCCGTGTCCATCGGGACCACATTTTGTGCAACCGGTTGTGTTGGTTGCTGCTGCTGCTGTGCAGGAACTTGACATGCTTGGGTCGTTTCTCCTTGGTCAAGGAACCTGCAGAATTCGGCGAGGTCCTCGACGTCCACTGGACCGTTGATCAGCTCGGAACAAGGACCGACATGGTCGCTGCGCTCCGTGTTTGCACCATATTCACAGCACTGCGATAAAACACTGATGTCTTGATTACGGGCACCACCGGCACCATTCGGGTAGGACACGGGCTGCGAACTGCAGCAGGCCGAAACCGGCTGATTTCGCTGCTGCTGCTGCTGGCACGCCGATTGCAACATTTTGTGATTTTGTGCCGTGTGTACACGGAGATAATAGAGCGAACCTGTCGGAACCCACGGCAATACTAGATGGCCGCTCTTCAAAGAAGCCAATGCGAGCCTCTATAGGCAATCTCGCTTCTGCTGCGACTCTTGCTGCTGATGTCTATCAGGGGCACGATAACGAGCGTGATCGCTGAGGAGAGCCACACGATAGAAAAAGGCATGTTCTGTTAAAAACTCACATGGAATGGTAAAGAAAAAGCGACTGACTCGGATCAAGACGTACGAGCAGCGATATCAACCGAGCCGAGGCTCGACTTAATGACTAAGTAATTAAGATATCGTACCGACGGGAGGTATATTAAAATCAAATGAATGCATATTACTGACAGTCTTCCTCCGAGGAAGTACGATTTTCTTATCGCGATCGTCGAAAGTTTCTTTCTAAACGCGCTTCAATTACGAACCATTAATACGAACTTGAATTTCTCCACGAGGACTTGTCTCGAGCGCGCGTCGGTAAATCGCGGAGGCACGGAAAAGTCTCGAACGTTTCGTAATCTTTGAGAAACATACATCAAGTTAAAAAAAAAAAAAACAATAACAAAAGCTTGACCGAAGATGGTATTAATTTGCCGTCTGTCGTGAGCCATTATTGGCTTTGACGATAAGGAAAAATATCAGTCATGCTTATTTTTTTAAAGCTCTGTTGTTCACTGGCTTATTATAAAATATTGTCTCTTTCTGGCACCGATCGTTTTTGAAATGGAACTTTAAATACTAAGAAATTATGGAGATCAAATCACAGGGGGGCATAAACTATTGTGAAAGTAATTCATAGATACTTTAGAAAATATTTCTTAGAATTTGAAATTCGTTAGATAATAACTAAAATATTAAAATACTATGTAATACTATTGAACTCGTTGTACTAATCTGTGAACAAGTATTTAAATGAAAGATTAATCTTTGTTCTACTTATGAATACTGACAGATTTATTCGGAAAAAAACTTCATTCTCAAATTTCTTTTTATCCTGTCAATTTTGGCGTGAGAAGGTAAAATTGTAAAAGTTCTTATTCTTTATTTTATTTTCATTTTTTTTAAATCTGCAAATAAGCAGCTCATTGATTTGAGTCACTGGCGCGTTGTCTTGTAGATTAAAAAAAGTAGATAAACAAGTCTTAGAGTTAGGAAATTTTACGAATTTATTAATAGATATAATTTTGTAAATTTGAATTACAATTTTGTATTATAAAAATTATCCGCTAGAAAAAAAATATGTAAATGACTAAATGTAAGAAAATAGTTAATAATGAATGAGATATGAGGAACGCAGATGGCGTTAGTTTGAATATAAGTGTGTTTGCGAAAAACAATATATCAGTGACTGATTTTCACTTTGTTTTACATTCGATAAAATTATAAATCGTTGAATCTGTTGATTAACCGACGTCCACAGACACGCGTCGTCAAATAAGTAATAAAAAGTTTTAAAAATGGCTGATTTTTTTTAAGTGTTTGAGAATAACAAACACAGACTGAAATATGCAAAAATGACTTTACTTCATTATTAATTGTACCGAAAAAATATCAGTACCAGCAAGTGACTTTTGGTGTTGCATCATTTGGATGGTAATGTCTATCTCTTGAAAATGTAAGTTGAACTCATTAAAACGCTATTAATGAGTTGAAGGCGAGTACTAATGGAATTGAAATTGGTTCATTGTTAATGAAAAAATTATCCTAAATTTCATGCAAATGGACGACTCGATCGCGATCGTGTGTAACATGCATAGGAGAATCCGCGCGCGTGTTCTGCAAATTGCGTGGAGCTAATGACGTGCAAAAGCGCACGAAGAGCGCGCATAATCGGAGCAAAGCGATACATACATAGACGTATTCTTGCGCCGATCAATTAATCAATATCGATAAGTAAAAAAATTGAAACGAGAATTCTTCGCTTGACTTTGTGCATGTGTGTATAGTTTTGAAGGAAACAGTGTGCAATGATCCGTATACATGATCCGCGTAATTAACTATCAAAAGTTCAACGTACTTAAGTGTAAAATGCATCTACTGGTGCAACTTGGCGCAAAAGATTATGAGGAAAAGATTGAGGTTATAGGTCGATCTTTTCACTTGCTCCGTCCGCGCGCGGAGGAGACTTTAAAAATGGGAAAAAGTTTCACGTGGCGCGCGTGATGCCGAGAGAGCCGCGCGCAGAAATACATGACATATAAGCGCGTTCTGGCAGCCCAATATGTACACACGCGCTACTCGTGCCGTCTCTGGCACGAATCCGAGGAATGAATTACGATCAGCAGACCAAGATGGTCGCGGACTCATTATACATATAGGAGAGCTGCTCGCGCCTTGCCCGTGTACATTTCGAGTCTGTGCAGAGCCTCGTGACGCGTGATGTATGTCTCTAATGATGACTATTCTTCTGTGTCAATGAACTTTTGCGCGATGACTTTTTTCTGTCAGCTTTTTTTCTTTCTTTTTAAATGGGCTCCTCCACGAGAAGCCAAGTAAGCAGCGATAAATTAGTGCAATTCAAAATATTCAAATCTTGAAGGTTGATTTGTTACTGTTGTTTCAAGTGAAGATCGATGTGCCTCTCGAGTAACGAGGATCGTTTTATTGCACAAATTTGTCATTTCACAAGAATGTGTAAGTACGAGTGAAGTAAATGAAAAAAAAAAATTTATTTAAAATTGGCTTAATTTAATTATGAACCAAGTTATTTAATTTTCTGACCCAATGATCTGACAAACTTTTTCTTCTTCAAAATTCGAAATTCAGATATTTTTATCATTTTTCCTTTCAGCTTACTAATTTAAATTTTGTAGCCAAATAATTTGCTGAAATTTTTAATTATGCGAGATGTGATCCGATTTGAAGTTCTACTTAACTTGAACGCTTTAATGTGGTCATTCGTGACAGATGTATTTTGATTTTCTCTTTTTTTATGATTTCTCGTAACGGCTATTGATACTTGAAAATATCTAAATTTAATCGATGATTGTTATTCAACTTTACATCGAATATCCATTAACGTTATGCAAACACATGTTTGATACGGTTACTAACAACAATCAAGATTTTAATCGTTCAACAGTGATTAAACAGCACGACAATTTTTGATTGCTCGCTTATAATATTAAAAATTTATTTTTTACAGATAAGCGCGGTAATTTTTTTTTAAAAAATGTTTGCCTTTTCGTGCGATTTATAAAAAAAAGTAAAAAAAAACATGTGTTAACTATCTTGTTAAATACAACGGAAAGTTCTGGTAAAGAAACTGTCTAAAAATAGTTTTTTCATAACAAACAATGTATGTTCGTTATTGAATATTTAGCATAGAATATAATGTATTTTTATGACTAAAATAAATATACATATGTACATAATTCTGAGACGATAATTGCACTCGAGACCTACATTGATAAACCCGCAAAGTATCCGCTCATTTATTATTGTCTCGATCAGAGGGTTATTGTAAAAGCTCCGTTGGAGGTCGGAAAAAATATTGCTAAATAAAGCGCAAACACCAAGGAAAATTCAGTCGCGCTCGAAGGGACCGGGCCAATTGCGCATTAATTCGTGCACGCGCGAGCAACGCACCGATATCGTACAGCACGAGGCAGAAAAAAAAGAAGAGGGAGAGAATCGAGAGAAACTCCGGTGAAAGCCAGTTTACATATCAAGGAGATCACCAAGCTCTCTTTCCACACTCTCTTATATTCTATTTTTGATGGAAAAATCTCACTGCACAAGTGGCCTATCTTTGATGTATACACTATACACATACCTATACCTATTTAACTGATAAACTGAAATATTACATGGCTGAGTTTGGCGTCGAAGTCATATTAGTCAGTTATTCACGTGCAAGCGACCCAGCTAGGTAGGCACCTCTTTATACAGACCCGCGAGAGCTAGTCGCTGCCAGAAAAAAAACTTGTATCTATACAAGTGCACGTCTGTATACACACGTGCGGTCCCTATCTTTCTACCCTCGCGCAGAGATAAAAAACTATTTTCAGGCTTTTATAGCTTCGGTCGGCTGAAATTTCGATTAAAACAAAAAAAAAAAAAACGATTCCTTATAAAGAGAGAATGTGTTGCATCATCGCGATTCATCGGCTCGATCGTGTATATGATTATAGAATTCATTCGCTACGAATCAAAGCGCCCTCTGAACGATCGCTCCGCCATACGCGTTAAAAAACGCTTTTTGTTTCTTCATGCACGCGCAATATCGATACGCAAGTATAAGTGTTATATACCGAGCGAAATTCAATAAATTACCCGCGCTTATAACGGGGCTTATTTTTGTATCTCATTTTCCTTGTACGATACGCGAGACGTTTTGGATGGTCATGCGCATGTGTTTACGAGAGCACATTTAACACCGGGGAGAGAGGAGGAGAGCTCTTTATTCTCGGGACGACAAATAAATATGTCGCATATTGCATGCTGCTCCTCCGCTCGTAGACACGCGAGTCTACATAGTAAACACCATTGCACAGTCGTTGATCCGAAATCGCGGAAAAGTACCAGCGAGCGAGCGAGCGAACGAGAGAGACGGATGAGAGCGTGTGAGTGTGCGAAACTCGCGCGCCTGTATACATATATCGCGCATGCACTGCGCACATGTGTTGGACGAAGACGCGCGTTCGACTGCGCAAAATGAAAAAAAAAAAATTAATAAAATATACTCTCGTGAGCAATAATCGTATCCAGTCGAATGAGATATTTTTCTTGCTTGAAAGTTCGAACAAAGGCACACGCACGGGTCGTGAAAAAGTTCGCACGCAACGATGAGAGACGAATCTATTTTTTCGCATACATCTCGCGTTGTACGTATACGCACGAACGCGAGCATCATTACTCAAATACTCGTAGGACGCATTATACGCATCACAATGAGGCATACATATATACAACAACGGGGCAACCCCCAAAGGCTTTGGAGTCGGATCAATGGATTTGTCGGCCCCCGTACTTGCCGATGGATGTGCCACATACGCACTGGTTTTACGTCGTAAAATCATTGCCGAGTCTTTATCTGCTACGTAGCTAAATTACATATTTGGTATCCAATTCTTGGGTCTAGTTTCATCGTAAAAGGGTGAAAAAATTTACAAGATAAGTGCAAGAGGTCCTACCTGCGTTTTTCCTTCATGATGATCAGGATTTTATGATCTTCCTGTGTTGTACAGCTTCAATGTCGTACGAGCTCAGAATCCGCCGCTGAACTGCAACTAACTGATTTTCCGATTATGGGCTTTTCTCGCGCTGTCTCGGGAATGCAGCAGCGGGTTAATATGTATATATTTGTAACACACAAAGTTGCACACTACTGGTTACAAAAGAAACACGGCACACTGTCAAACGATGTTTTTTCCTTCGCTCCTTTTTTTTTTGCCAATCGGAGCCGATGGATGGAACACACGAGAACTCGGAGATAAAGAGACGGAGAGACTAGAGAGAGAGAGCGGCGCGTTGCTCTCCTGCGTCCTCTGTCAGATTATTAAAATATGTCGAGTTTTAGCACAAAAACACAATATTGAACCGTATCTGGTTATTCCCAATAACGGCCGTACGACTCGAGGAAAGAATTAGTCGAATAAATGGAACGGTGTGTGTATATGTATGTGTATATTATATATCTATATATTTCTTTCAGAGCAGTCGAAACGTGTGCAAGAAAGAGATAGCTAGTCACAGTAGTCGTATGTACTAGATAAAACAGCAGGCGCACAGAGAAAAAAAAGAGACCAGAGTCAATCGGGTATTGGACTCGGAGTGGCTATGAACGGCGATATATGTCGAAATGGCCTCTCTTTTGAGTAACACATATGTACTGGGATTTGAGAAGCTCGACGTTACACGCCACAAGCGCCAAGACGCACGAGATCCTCTCGTCGATGTCCCGGACCGTGGCTGCCCCGTCGACGAGGCCTTATGGAGTTCGGACGAGCGACAAAGAGAACAAGAGATCGACTTTGTTCTCTACTCTTTGAGCTCTCGAGGTCTCTCTTTTTTTTTTAAGCCGTCGTGTTACGACGAATCTCCGCACGTCAAAAGTCTCGCTGCACTCAGCTGCTGCTGCTATCCACTGCTAGAGTTGCGTCGAACTGCAACCTCGTGTCGCTGGATCGAATTTGGTTACCAACAAATCAGGCTGGATCGAAAGCACATGCACACAAAGCACAGAACACAGAAAAAAGAGTGTGAACGAGTGACAAAGAAAAAGTTAGAGATAAGGTGGTGGACTACGGGCGATTAGGAGCACCTGACGTATCCGCCGCTGAGAATAGTGTCACTATGCATAACATTCACCAAGCACTGCGTCTGCACTGCTCCGCAGCTCCCTGTATATGCTCGCCTCACGCTCGCTCGCGAACTTCTTGCGTGTATGAGTGTGTTATATACGTGTGTGATCGTCGTTGTGCTGCACAGCGTCGACGAGCGCCGCAGAAGCTCGGAAGCTTGGCCGTATTATACTGAGACCGTCGGATTAGCAACCGGTTTGGCTCTCCGATAAAAGTCGTGCGAAGTACGTGGACGATGCGAACCACGCCAGCACCAGTGCTGCTGTTGCTGCTGCTAGAGCTCGGCAGCCTTATCGTGCGTTATATGTATATTACAATCTCTCGCTCTGGGCCGCCAGAGCGCAATGCGAATCGAGTGGCTATACGTATGCTGTATCGATGCGGCTGTCATTGACAGCGGACGCTCGCAACTCTCTGTGCTATCGCAATGCGTTTGTATTTGGGAATCGCTGGCGTCAGCTCGCTACAGTCGCCTCGAGCTCGCTTGGGCTTACACTAGTCTCTGCCTACCACCGAGCAGGCCTACTGAGTGAGCCTCCACTTTTTCTGCCGCTGCCGCCGATACGACAACGACGGCGACCAGCGCCAGATATAAGCAGTATGCGAGCGATCAGTTGTTTCGCAGCACAGCAGCAACCCATGAGTATAATCTATGATTGTTATTATTATTATTATTATACGAGAGATGGAGTATGTGTCGTATTGCGTCTGCTACTAGGTTGCGACTCCACTCGTCGGCGGTTGCCGCTCACTTTGCCAGCACTTATATTGAATAGAAGAACAGCGAGGCTATACAAAACTAGCGAGATTTGATTCGACCGACCGAGTCGACTCTCTACGTATCGACGCACATGCGCATGGCCAGTACACCACCAGGCACCAGCTGCTTCTATATCTGTATTTGTGTGGACTCTCGTCTGCCCCTCCATGTGTGTGACACTGCGCGATTGTTTATTTGCGATCACTCCTCAGCGAGAAACGAGAATATCGCGCCTGACTGGCCTGTAGGTGGCGTCACGTGCTTGACTCGCTATCTCACGCACACAGCACATAGAGCTCCAACACAAAAAGTCGCGCTCTCGCCTCTCTCGAAACCGCCTTGTGATTTTCCCCCTTAGCGCATCGAGAACGATAACAATATAACGATGCAATTTAAAAGCGTGAAAGTTGCTGTTCGAAGCTGCAACGGCATTAATGAACCCGTGTACGAACTCTGCGATTAGATTATCCGAGTATATACGGGAAAAGCTCGAAGATGCGCAGCAGCAGCAGCAGCTTTTCGGTCACGTGTTTGACGAGCGCAACGCGACCACCATGCGTCGACATCTGGTGGTCCACGGGCTCAAGCTCGATCCGCACGTCGACGGCGACCTACCTACCTTCGTCCTGAGCTTTTTCCATGCTGACTGCTGCGATGCCGCCGCCCACACATGTGTTTGCGGCTCTTCGAGAAAATACCGATTAATATTGCAATCTCAATGTGATCGCTGCGCGACCTACGGGACGAGTTCCGCCAATATATACTTCGAGCACAAATAAAGCTCGCTAATTACATCGATAAAAGTGCACGCATCGCTGCTCGATACGTACGCGCAATTATGGAATTTTTAGTACTTTGGGGATCGCGACTGCTAAAAATAAACTTCGTCGACAGACAGACAAGTGTGCAATAATCTCTCCTCGAGAGATCGGTATCATCCACAGATTTTGTTTTGACGATACGATCGCTCGACATTTTTTTCAATTGCACCTTCTACCTAAGTATTTCGAATTCCTCATAAATACGTCGCAAATAAGACAAATTTTTCATTTTCAAATATTATTTTTCTATAACATTCGGATACAAATGAGGGAAAAGAGAACGATTACGCGGGCTGATCGATAAAATTGCGTACGCCCCGAGTGGCGAGCTTGATAATGGACGCCAAAAATATCGTTTCGTGTTTCAAAATGTGGAAAATTTGTTAATAATGCGGGCGATAAAATTTGTTAATTTTTCATTCATAAGATATATATTACGTCGATTTTTTTTCGTGCTCTTGAACTCGATCTCTCGATCTGTTTTTCTTCCTTTTACAGACGATATGTCAGCTAGTTTTGTTCCTACGTCGGTCGCGCGACGAATTATCGCAGTCTACTCGATTCATGAATAATCATCGAGTCGCTCCTCTATTTTCATTAGATGCACTGACTCACGCGACGCAAATTCAAATGGAAAGCATAAATTTGACCGGCTAAGTGATAAAAATTCGATTGCCATTAGGTATAGAGCTCGAGTTTGCACCGACCGAGTCGACAATAAAAAAATGACTCGAATAAAATTGTAGCATCGAGATTTATCGCAAGCTCTCGGATTGAATGATTGGCACACACACACAATCACACCAGGCACGATCGATTATTACATCCCGGTGATTTAATAAAACATTCGAATATTTAAGCTGTGTCGGTATAACTCAGCGATTGGCTAAAGAAAGTCAGAGCGTCAGCGCACGCAATAAAGAGCATACAGCGGCCAAAAATATTCGCAAATTTCGAAGCGACACACGCTGCGCATAATACGCCACTCGAGGTATATACACAATCCGATGCATGCTCCGAAGCTGGAAAAAGATAGAAAAAGATCCGCAGCGGCTGAATCACGTATACGACTACTGTATACGTATACACGCTGTGTTATGTATACTGCGCGAATAACGCGAATATTCGCGTCGGTGTCTGTGCGTACCGTGTACCACACATAGATCGGCACGTACAGTAGCCGAGCGCACACAGATGCGGTCCGTGTTTGTGTATACATAGGTAGAGAGTACAACACACGTAATGTATGTATGTATCGTAGCGTCCTATGTATAGTGTGTTCTAGCTCGGACGGCGAGGAGTCGTCGTAGTCGTCGTCGTCGACGTCGTCTCGTGCGCCGCCGATGCCAGTCAGGAAGTGCCCGTCGTTCCGTACTGAAGCTCCTCTTCTCTCTCGCTAATAGTACTTTTTGTTCTCCTCTCTCGTTCTCCGTTCGCTCCGTGTCCCTCTTCGGTGTTTTGTCAAGATTTTCTCCGCTCGAGATGGCTATCTGTGAGTATATCGCCAGTGATTAGGATTGTTTTCCTCTCTGTTTTTTTTTCTTCTTTCGACGCTCGTCCGGCCGATCGACGCTTACCGGTATTTATAGATGATTTGCAATTCGTGCCTACACCTCTCTCTCTCTCTCTCTCTCACTCTCGTGTGTGCGTTGCGTAGATGCAGCAGCGAGTCGAACACTCCCTCGTGTGTATATGTATGTGTAGATATGTGCGTGTCGCGTATCTGATATTACACCTCATCGGCATTCGCTGCACTATCGGGTATCTATACACGTCGTCGCGCTCTGTCCATGTTTTTAAAATAATAATAACGCGTGTTATTAAATCTCTGCGCCTACGTTGATAAACAGTGGTGTCGAGGAAAATATTTCCATTGGTATTTAAATATTGACTGCTCTATGCTTGTGTGCGACATTGCGAGCTTAGGCGACACTATCGCGTCTGGATTATCAAAACAATCGAGAATCGATCATTAACGATGGCACCTGTATGTACGACATGTAATACCGAGTCTCGCGACAATGTATAGGGATCGGCCTAGGAATTTTCAGTTACATATTTTTCGTACTTGACTCGATAGACGGCGAGTCTTGGGTCGTAAATATATAGCGTCGCGTCGCGTGCCCTCAACGACAGCTGTAAAATCCCGACACAACCGATGGTTACCTTGTGCTCTAATAATAATAATCTGTTTTACAACTGCATGATTGGCATTGTTAAAACAATTATTATATACACGTGTACGACGTGTGCGTGCGAGCGCACTCTGTACTCGGTTCACGCCATGTTTCGAATCATCATCCTCGCCAAACTGGAGCAAAGCTCGTTCGCACGAAGGTCACCACGGATCGTGTTATTCAGCCGCTTGTTTTTCATTTTTATATTTTACAAAAATTGACGAATGACTCGAGTCGCACTCGCGTATACGTATATATCGCGAAACGCCGAGACTTATCGAAGCAGAAGAAAACTGCCAACGCAGAAGTGTATATACACCGTACGAACCGGTGAACGCTTAACGGGACTTTTTTCCCGGAGGGCCGAGTCTCGTGAATTCACTTGCACGCGTTGCGCTTCAAAAATGCACTCGACGCATCGCGCGAATAATATGTGCGCTACTCGTGTGATATCGTCACCACAGCGCATTATACTCGTAATAGAAAAACGACGTCATAATTCAAAAATACGCGTCCTATATACACTTAGCAGTACGTATCTAAGTCTCGACGGTGTAAGCCGGCAAGTGAGCAAATCGTGAGTCATTTTCGCCCAGTCTAGAAGCGCTATTATGCACTTTCTATTCGTCTTCTAACGCGGGTGTGTACTTGGCCGCTCGATTTCCTGCAGTTCCTTCGAACGTCTCGACGCGTGTATATATTTCAGAGCGTGTCCTGGTTTACGGAAAATCGATCGAGCGGATTAATTCCCAGCGGAAAAATGAATAAACTGCGATTTTCACGACTTTCTGTAAACAAAGCAATCGAGGACGATAGTTTTGCTGGGATTATTTGAGTATTTTTTTCATCTCGAGTTTAACCTAGTTCCGCGTCGGTGCGAGCGCGAGCTTTTACGAGCAAGACAATCGATCCCACCCGTGCCAGAAACTCGAATGTAATCATGCCGCATCGAGCGAGTCGTAATGCGCGCGAGTCTCTTCTGAATTTGAGCGAAATCTCGGGAACTTGAATCTAAGAAATATCGTGCAGCTCCGTACGCACGGCCTACGTATATTATTATTACATCTTAAACACGTGTAAAAATAAACCCTGGAGCTTGGATATACGTATAAACTTTAAGCCGCTCCGAAACGCGAAAGTGGCCCCCGCAACGACGTGGCGCGTATACTCGAGCTGGATCGCGCAAAATTTTAAATTCAAGAATTTGGACGAGCGTTCGTGGTAGCGCACAACTGCTGCTGCATCGGTCGATAAATTTTTCGTGTCGCGATAGTCGACGTCGCGTATGAAAAATCGAAAAAGCCTGTATAAATCCGTGCCGTGAATGCAGCGAGCGAGAAAGAGAGAGAGAGAGAGAGAAAGAAAAAGGATGTTCGGTCTTTCGCGCGCACTTATGTATAATATAGCCAGCGTCCCACAAGTATAAGAGTATCCAATATATCCTGTTACCCAGCGCCCATTTACGTATACGTATGTGCTTTTTTTTTTTAACAACCACCCCTCCTTGCATTTCGATATGCATTATGCACCTTTCGTATCGTTACGCGTTTAGATTTTCGACGCAGGAATAAGTCGTTTTGTTTACATTCGATGTGTCATGTTACTGCGTATTGTCGTTCCGAACGTTTTTGTACATTATGTATAATATCTCTTTCCCGTGGCTGAGAAAATGAAAAAAAGTAGCTCTCGCCTTGCTCTTGTGAAATTAATGATACCGAGAGAGTAGCTCTGTAACAAAAAAACAGCAAAACAACAGCCTCGATGTAAAAATGTATATATTATATATTTTAACAAAAAACTACATGCATTATTGTGCAAAGAATTTCCAAGTAGAGACGCACGCGCCGTCGTTGACTCGTTTTACCCAAGACTCGAACGAGAAGATGAAAAAATAAAGAAAAAAGGAAGAATCTCGCGGACGCCATTCGAATGCACTTAAGTTGCTTTGTTTTTCTTCTAGACACAAGCAGCAGACGCGGCAAGTGCTGCAGTTCACGAAGATCCATATCGCTCTCGTATGTGCCGGGAAAACAATTCTATGTCGGCCTGCGCGAAGATACATATCTAAAAACGCCGCGATGAGTCAGGCGCGCACTCGTTCGATTTTTCGATGATTGATGTACCAAGCAGACGTATACACGAGGCCGATTCGTTTTTTTTCTTCGTCTTCGCTCTTATTCTCCTTTTCGTGCGTTTCCTCTCAAGGCCATCAGTAGCTTTAAAAGCTACACAATACGCGGCAATCATCGCGAAGTATTATAGGCGAGCAGTTTTTTCGTTTGACGCATGTAAGAGCGACGGGGAAAATCGGGTGCGGCCAACGAGCTCGCGCCACCGGCCGGTCCGACGATATTACGTTTAAAATAGCTCATCTTTATCCACATCGCTCGGGCGAATCTCGTGCGTACAAAGGTTGACGCGAGAGGCGCGTGCGAACGATTGCCACGAGTATTATTTTTTATGAACGCGATAATTGCTCTTGAAGTTAACGAGACGTTTTAAAAACTCTATTGATTCAAGATCGTTCAAAATAGAACTCAAACATCGGGATCATCCGCGATTGAAGGCTTCGTCGTTTTATATACCTACGATTTTTTTTCTCCTCCAAGCAAGGCTGTTCACGGGACTTTTTATCGCATAGTTCAAAGTTCGTATAGACGTACGAAATACCTCGAAACGTTTGATACGATCTCGCGTCCGCGAGTACATAAATGCATGGCGCGGAGAGAAAGAGAGATAAAGAAGTGCAATTTATGCGCGAGTATGGATCAATTTAAAAGGAGTAAAAAAACATTGCACGTGTAATGTGTGTGAGTGTGTTTGTGTGTAGTCAATGGTACATAGCATGCGTCGCGTACATTATGTATATAGCTTATAATAACAGAGTTCAGTACTTGTAAAATAGCAATAATGAGGCAGCAAAAATGCCCGGCGTCCTGGATAGATCTTAAGCGGAGCTGTCCAATCCGATGTAGATCGAGGCCGAAAGATATACACACACATATACACATATTACTCAGAGCCAAGTCGTACATATACTTACGACAATAAGACGTCGTTCACAGGGGTTATTCCGAATGTCATCCGCACGAATTTGTGCTTTAACGATTTTCCTCGTGAGAAACGTCGATGAATTTTGTATAATGTATAATATGGCATATTGGCCCCGCGCGAAGGTCAGTAGCCGATCATGCCACCTGTCAAGCCGCTAATCTCGACAAAGAGTGCAAATGTGTGTATGTTATATTCGCGCGCGATAATCAGCAGCGGGCTCGATTTGATACGCATCGTTTTACTGAATTATATACTCGTATTTAAGGCATATAACGAGCTTTCGGAGAGCTCAACAACGACGACGACGACGACGACGACGACGACGTTGACGATGACTTTCCGCGTTCGCGTCGTCGAAGAGAAAAAGAAAGGCGAAAGAGGCAGGATGATATCATGCGCGCGCGCGTGATATATATACGCATCGTTGGCGATTATCGTTGCGCGCCTGGCTCTGCGCCTCGCCGATCAGGTATTTCAGGTTTAACGCTTTTTCCCCGTCGCATATTTCGAATGGGTCGAGAGAGCTGCTGCTGCTGCTGCTACGTAGCTGCACATATCGTCCGCGCACGCATGTATAACCGGCCAAAGTTCGAGAGCAATGCAATGGCTACAAGGCCGCAACGTGCGTATACACATATAAATGCGCGACGAGCTTCTCTCCGCAGAAGCGTATAATGCGCCGTATACGTATAATAATCTCAGCGCAAAGCTCTTCTTCTTCTTCCTCTGTTTCTCTTTTTTTTTTTTTTTGAACAATTATTATCGTTCACGAGGCCGTCGTCGTCGTCGTCGTTGTTGTTTGCCATTCGAAAAGAGAGGAATAAAGGAAGTATACACGTGCTTGAACGATGACGGCTTATTTGTGGCGATTCGTTTTCAGCACTGACAACGGAAGACAAATTGGAATACCAGTTCTACCCTCTGAGCGGTGGACAGATTCAATTTCGCGTCAAAGCACCTCACGACTGTCATGTCGCCCTCACTACTAGTCCAGCCGAGTCCGATCCTATGTGGGAGGTAAACTCGCTCATTAATATATTACAGCTATTTCTCCTTAGCATTCGTTTATTTTTACTCAATGGCGATTGCTTATTGTCCCAAAAAACAGATCTTCATCGGTGGTTGGAAGAACAGCAAATCGGTTATTCGAAAAAACCGGACGAAACCCGACGTCAGCGAAGTCGACACTCCCGATATCTTGTCAGGCGACGAGTTTCGCGGCTTCTGGATAAGGTACTTGAATTATCGTCATTATAATGCATTCGATCGATCGATCGAATTTATAACGGCCTATCATTGAGATCGATAAAAATCGTTGTTGCGCAGATGGAACGCCGGCTACCTGACCGTAGGCAAGGAGAACGAGCCCGAGCCGTTTATGAGCTACGTCGATCCGGACGGCTTCCAACCGACTCACCTGGGCGTTTGCACCGGCTGGGGAACAGGTGGCGAATGGCTCATCGAAGGTAATGTATCACAGTTCGACGCGCTTTAAAATTAAACACTCGGTAAACATCGTATATATACAGCCGATTTACAATATTTGTTTTAACTTCGACAAATGGATGGATCATCACGCTCGTGTGTGCACGAATTTTTTCATTCGTGTAACGGATCGGCAACGTCGACGTAATCAAAAAAACAAATCGCAGAGAGATGCATCGGCGAATCCCGGTACACGGGTATGGGTTGATGAACAAAATCTTATGTGTTTGTTGTGCACCAGTACGCAAAATAATAGGACTTTGTTTTCTCGCACCTCGTCTCTAATTTGTTTTCATTTGTTGTGTTGCGAGTTGTACCTGTTTAGCGTGCTTTCCTTGCATTAATTTTCCAACGCACTTTTTCGACGTCGTATTTTCGCTCGACAAATTTTAAACTTTTCAATGGTACGATTTTTTTTTACGTTTGTGAAATTGTTTTGAATTCCCCCCGAGTTACATACATGTAAATGTTAAACTCAAATGTTGAGATAATGCATTATCTCGCGACACATGTTCACGTGAAGATTAACGCGCGAATACGTACTTTTTCCTCCTTTACTTTCGAACTGATTATATAATTTTTTTTATGTACGAAATTATATACTTTTACTAGCTGTGTCAAAAATCGAGTATTGAAAAAAAAAGAAAGGCAAATATCACCTTTACAAGTGTGTGGACAATTTTGATATGTCTTGTAACTGCTACGAGATATAAGAGTTTCGTTGTTTTATGTATCTAGATCTGAATTTATATAGCACGAGCGCAATTACGATTCATTATTGAAATCAACACTGCATAATCCTTAGTTATACACGTAATAAAAACCTAACAGGCATCTGTGTTTACCAATACAACCAAAAGTGACAGGTTGTAATTTAACGTTGCATAGCGTTTTGGCTAAAATTATTCGTCGCATAGTTTGCACACGTGTACCAACGATGACGCTGCTCTAATCGAAATCAATATTTAATCTTTTTTTTTCTCGTTGACGATTTTAGACTTAAATAGCCTTGTCTCGTCCGGATCCCAATAATCGATGCCAATTTCCAGATAATAATCGACGAAATCATGTAGATTCGTCACTTTCTATGTCTCAACTGTGGTGTTGGTCGTGCACATGTTCCTAGTCTTTAAACATACAGTATCGCGTAATCTACTGCAATTATTTATTTTTTCACCTTCGGTCTCTATTGGCAGAGAAAATTACAGACGAGAAGCAAATGCACAAAAAAAACCGTTACTCTTGTTTCAGCGATATCAAATTCGCAGCAAACAGCATCGTAAACGCGTCGAGTAAATTTTTAAGATGCAATTACTGTTTATAAATGCAAGAATGTATATTATGAAAAAAGTATACTTTTCTGAAAATACCTATGATTCGATTGGTATTTTCAGCGAGCGAGCTTAAGATCTCGAAGCTTTTTTCAAGTGTAGCTCGTATACAAGCACGAGTTCGGGCAATTTCCGCTTGCAAGTCCTTCCGCAATTTCTTTGTTACCAAGCTACAGTACAGCAGTTGGCCGCTTTTATGGCCGTAGAGAAAAAGTGCACGTAAAGCGCTAAGAGCTCGTTTCCGCTTCTAGTCCATGTGTGTTTTATTAAATAGTCATTTTGAAATCGTCATTTCTGAACGCTACACGATGTCGATTTATGTATAATAACAATAACTTATGTGTGCGTGCAACTCTGGTTTATTAACAACACCGATCATTCCGGACACGTTTTGATTCTCGTCAGCTGCTCCAAACAATAATTAATCGAAACTCGTGTCGTCTCTTCCAGATCCGAACTCTGCTGCGGATCCAGCGCCATCGGCCCCGGCTGACTATCAGGTCGGCAACGCCGCCACCGGCACCTGTTGGTGCGACGCACAAGCCGGAGCCATACCGGATAACGCGGTGTTGGCCGGTCAGGACGGCGACGAGGCTCTCTACGTCGGTCGGGCCGAGCACGAGGGTGCCCTCATCCCCGGCAAGGTCGTGCCCGGACACGGAGTCTGCTACGTCGCTTGGGGCGGCGAGGAGCACGCCAAAACCGAATATCAGGTTGGCGCATGATAAATCATTTCTCTTTTTTTACTTTCATAATTACGATGAACTTCCGTTGGTAATTGTAATGGGTGATTGCAGGTTTTGTGCAACTGCTCGGGAATCTGGGTACCAGCGAGCGCCGACAACATTCCCCCGAACGCCGTGCCCTGCGGCCACACCGAGGAAGGCGAGCCGCTCTTCAGCGGACGCGTCAATCACGAGGGCACCCTGACCCCCGGCAAGGTCCAGCCGTCCCACGGCGTGCTCTACATACCGTTCGGCGGCCAGGAGGTCTCCTTCCAGGAGTTCGAGATCCTGACTAGCTAAATTGTCTCCGAGCAAAAATATCCCCACATGCGCGATTCGTAATCTCGGATTATATTATGCAGAATGCAGCTTTATAATCGAACCACATGCACACGCGCGCCCGCCGCATTATATATTTGTAGTCGATTTCGTTTATTACACTTTTTTATATGTAAGTAATTGAAGTATCGATCGTTTTGAAAATTGCATTTCGATGTCAATGAAAATAAGTGATAAGTACTATGGATTGTACTCGTTAGTTTTTTCTCTTTATGTGATCTGTTAATTCTCAAATATTTCAGAATCTCAAAGTGTTGCTATTTAATGTAATAAGGTCTGATTTTGAAGCAAAAGTATGAAGAAAATTGTATACATTACATTATGTAACAGAAAGTATTTAGTTTTAAGAGTCTTGCAATGACTGTAAATGCACAAAGCTTTGTATTAAAATATGTACCCAATCAAATGATGCTCTTTCAGCTTCAAAATAAAAAAATATAATCTTCCAAATTGCTCCTTGTTTTTTTTCATTTGATATATTTGATACCATACATGTTTTGTAGACAAAGAAAGGTATTAAAAACAAAATGAGACTATTTTTTATAAAAACTGAGTCGTGTATTGACCATTAAAAAAATCGGTTATAATGTTAGAATTCAAAATCAATTAGTGCAAATTAGTGAGTACAATAAAAAAATACTTTGGTTCATCTTAAGATTCTACAAGTTAATTAATTTTTTCACAGATTACGTATTTTTGTAACTGACGATTGTCTGCATTTTATGTAAGGATGTAGAAAATGTTCGAAGCTGTACCTCTTGACTGTTGGCTATGAAAACTGGACTTGTCTCGTCCCATTCATTTGGAATATCACAGTCAGATTTTGTGTAAGTCAATATATCAAACGAACATAAACAGTCTAAAAGTGGTAAGAAACTTACGGTTGCTGCAATTAAATAAGTAGGCATTAGCAAAAGCAAGTGTATAAATCATTGCATATTAAATCAATTATAAGGCATTTTACCTGTAATTTGTCGTATAACTTCTCTGATTTCTTTTTGAATTGTTTTTAAATCTTTTTTTCCTACTTCTGGCATTATCTCGTTTTTAATAATTGTTTTGGCATCAATTTCACCATTCTCATAATCTACTTTGAAGTCCCACTTTTCTAAAACTTCTTTAGTTTTAACTTGAGATATGACCAGGGAAACTCTTTCCACTTTTCTTTGCAAAAGCCACTCTTCAATTTGACCCAGAACTACCTTGAAAAATTCAACGATTTTCGGATCCACGGACATAAGAATACACAAACCAAAGTGGTCCTTTGTCTCAAAAGTCTCAGGAGGATAAATTCCTCTTTGATACAAAATATTGTTGATGCCATACACTGATAAATAATAACAATTAGTTAGTTTTCAGTAAAAATAACGTATAGTTTTCAAAATCCAGACTTACGAAGATATTCCTTGACCAGTTCTGCTGATCCTTTCAGAGTAATACATTGTGTTTTTTGTTGAGTTTCCGACATGATTAAAAATTAAAATATTAACAAGAAGACAGTTAAAATTATTAGCCTACTTATACAATTCAACAGTTTTCGCACAGTCCACCGGTATTCGCAAATTCAACAAGGTTATGTATATTAATGCTATTCGTTATCCCTGAATTTGAAATTTACCAATAGCCTTGCAATTTTGGCAGCTGATTTTGAGGATAATCTACTGGATTGGCTAGCAGTAGAATTGGCATTGGCCAATTGGCGACGAATCTTTTTAAGCTTCGTTCACAATTACGCGACATTCTAAATTCATATGAACTTCACAGTTGATACTTTTGCAAAATAATTGCATGAACTTTTTAATATTTTTAAATTTGAAAGTTTGAAGAATTGAAGGATTTTAATATAGTCATGAAAATCAAATAGAAATGTAAAATCAATGATGGGGATGAGTTTATTTTGACAATAGAAATGAAAGTTCCAGCTTTCACTTCTGAGCCAATAAAACATTTATGAAAAAAGTGCTCACATAAATATGAATGATTTCTTTATCATTAAAAAACTAATATTGTTAAATGTTCATTTTTTAAGTGTTAGATTTAATGAATTTCAAAATTATTTGAAATATTAATACTGAAGTATTTTTATTTTAAAAATATTTTTTTTAACAAATAGTTGGAAACTTTATCTTAAATATAATTCATTTATACACTTTTCTCATTTTTCTTTACGCTGTTTACTCAAACTATCAATCATTTTTGCTACCACAGCCTCAACTAATTCTGGAATGACAACTCCATTTATATCTATGAAATTTGCAACAGATCTAGTGACCGATGTCTCATTGGTAATTCCAGTTGCATCGTCTTTAACTGACAGTTCTAAAGTGTATTTGTCATCATATTTTTTTAAATATGAGCTTGCTTCCCAAACCAAATCTGGATCAAACCCTGTAGGATCCCTGTAAAATATTTAAACCATTATGAGAATCAGTTAACATATAATGAGCAACTGTAGGTATTACTGTAATGAAAATGTTCAAACCTTTGAATAGCAACAACAAAAATGCCTTTCTCTTTATGCGTGGTATAAAGAGTCAATATTCCCATGAGAATAAAGTAAAGGGTGACACATACAACCAACACTGGCTTTGATTGAGGGAAAGGATGGAAATAGTCCCAAACTAAAGCTATAGCAGCAACCAAAACTGCAACTCCACATAGAGCTAATCTGCCATCGAGGAGAGCGAAATTTTCCGTATAATTGTATTTTTTGGTCAAGATGTTTTTAACAACATCATCTAGGGCAATTTTAACAGCTGATCCGTCCCATTTATTGACTTTGATTATCTGTAAGATAAAATTTTATCAAATTTTTCTATTGAAACTGATCTTGAAATAAAGTATAATTTCTTTTCGTCATTTTATCATCTGGAGCACTTTAGAAAGCAAAGCACTCACGCAGGTAACAAAGTTTCATTTAATTCTCTCAATATTTTTCAAAAGCTAACTACATTCGATTATTCACTGTGCATTATAATATTTGGCTGTGCAGCGTCGTTGCATTGTTTGTACTCACCGCCGGATCATTACTATCTTTTTGCTCTTTTTTCGATGACATATTGTGCTGTTGAATACTTAGCGATTAATATTAAACTGATAACAATAAGAACAGGTTAAGTTCGCTCGACATATAGCTGTTGTGTTTTCGTGGCCGGCGCAAATTGGTCGTCAGAAAACGCGCCCATATATTGCTCATTGACGGTCTCATGCTCGTTCGCAAAATCTAGTCTAAACTTCCTCCCCCTCTCTTCAATCTCCAAAGGTTCAAATTTGCATAGCTCATTTGCCTCATTGTAAAATATGAATATGCCACGCACTGACTTGAAAAATAACTTTGACTAACATGCATCTTGAAATTGAGCAAAGAATTTGTTTTTAATTTAGAATTTGACATCATTGCTGACAGTAATTAAATATCATCGAACTTTGTCCAAAAGATGTGATGCAATGCAGACGTGTTTATTGCGTCGACGCGCCCATGTTATCAATTCGATCGCTAACAAACAATCAAATAAACAAAGTCGCAGCAAAACATCATCTCGACGTAAGCAACAAATAAAAATTGAAATCAAGGGACAATCGTATCTGTAACGATGCAGTGCAGCCACTAGAAGCGATCGTTGATTTTTTGCAATTGTCAATTGCCATTTGCCAGCAAGTTAGCTCGATTATGCAAACTCGGCAGGTTGGTAACGCCTACATATAGGCTCCAAAAAATTTTCCAGATAATTCACGTTCATAGCTATCGTGTTGGTGCAGTCAGAGTGTATACGTGCGACTCGCGTCAAGTCGGTGTGTGAGTGCGTCTGCTTGTTGCTTGCTCGTGCACGAGAGGCGAAGATATAGACGACGATATAGACGAAAGGCGAGCAACACTGCGAAGAAGTAGGCCCGCAAGAATCGCGATAGCAGACGCTCGTTGTTGTGCAGTGCCTGAACGATAGCACATTCGCGAGCCTCGAAATTACTCTCGTATCGTGGACGCCTACGTATTAGCAGTCACGATCTCGAGATCTCGCGATCTTCGACGCAGTCTACATACCGATCGGTCGTCACACGCACCCACGGATTCGCTGCAGTCTCGCGAAAAGATCATGACTACCTGGAACATCAAGTTCGGCAACGGCATCAAGGACGAGGTGGACGGCACACTCGAGTTGAGCTACGCCGCGGACGACTCGACGGGCTTCGATCACTTGCCGAGCTTCGTCGAGTTCTACGGGCACGATAATAGCGCCGATCGGCGTCGTAATGGAGCAGCATCGGTGGCGACGACGACGGCGCGCCTCCACCGCGACGACGACAACAACGAGGACGACGATTATTGCGACGATGCGACGGCCGCCTCGTTCGCCGCGAGCTTGCAAGGCGCTGACGACGACGACGACAACAACATGAATACCGGGTAAGCACGAGCGTGCGTTCTTCTCGCAGCTACATAGCCACTGATACATCGTTTTGGTATTTATTCGCGTCTTCTCGCGGTGCTATACTTAGGTGTTAAGTAAAACGGCGTCGCAGGGGAGCGATCGTCATAATATTCGCTTTTTCACGTATATAACGCGTAGGTGGAGCAATAGATGAGCCAGAGAACGCGTGCGATGAGTGAGAGAAAGAAAGAGAGAGAGAGAGAGGCCGTCGTGTTTATTTCCGTAGCCTCTATCGCATATACATATTTTCTGCACGATCTTAGGCCTCGCGCTGATATAATATAACTCACTCTCACTCTTTTACTCAATCGAAAGTTTTCGCGAAATTTTCTGCTCCACTCGTTTGAGCTTTTTCTAATTTCAAATTTTCGCCTACGTGCATAGTCAAAAGTGCGTTAGAACGAGCAACAAATTCTTTATCTATACTGCAATATTTCATACAAGTATTCTAAACATCATTTGTTCTTTTAGATATATTCATCACACTATTAGTCAAGACCAAATATACATGAGGATACATCCTGGTAATAATGACAACATGCCTGAGGATCCATCCCATGCTGTCATCACAATTGAAACCACAGATCCAAATACCAATCAAAAACATATTAGCAGATATACTTGTGCCTATGATGGATGTACAAGAACATATAGCACAGTGGGAAATTTGAGAACACATATGAAAACCCATAAAGGTATGACTTTTAAACAATTTTACAACCAGAGTTATACTAAATAATGATCTTAAAATTATATTTTTGTGCTTACAAAGGATTAAAAGTTTGGTGAGTGGACTGAAATATTTCATAGTTCACTTACACCTTACTGTAAAAACAATAAAGCAATTCTCTATTTTAATTATTTAAGTAACATACTTTATAAGTCCAATATTTTGTTCCTTATTTTCAGGTGAATATCGATTCAAATGTTCTGATCCAAGCTGTGGCAAGGCATTTTTAACTTCATACAGTCTCAAAATACATATTAGAGTACATACAAAACTTCGACCTTTTGAATGTAATGTTAGTGGTTGTGTCAAAGCATTTAACACTCTCTATAGACTGAAGGCTCATCAAAGACTTCATAGTGGTAATACTTTTAACTGCGAAGAAATCAATTGCTTAAAATTTTTCACAACATTAAGTGATCTCAAGAAGCATGTCAGAACTCATACACAAGAAAGACCTTACAAGTAGGTTTAGCATTGTGCAAACTTTTTACATATATTCAAATTTAGTTAGCAATACGTAGATGCATGTTTAAGTAATTGTACTTAAAATTTAAAAATTATAATGAACAAGGCAAATACTTTTATTGAAAGATAATTTGATTTGAACATTGAAGTAAAACAGTCATGATAAAATATGACATTTGGTAATGAGATTACAAAATGCCACACAATGAAAACAATTTCAACAAAAGTTTGCGTTGTCTGAACACACTTTAATAATATTTCATAAAACTATCTTTGTATTTAATACTATCTTGGTCGAATTTTCTATTTTAAGGTGTCAAGAAAATGGTTGTGGAAAATCTTTCACAGCTTCACACCACTTGAAAACACACAAACGCACACACACTGGGGAACGGCCTTATTTATGTATGTTTAATAATTGCAATCGATGTTTTACTACACCTCACAGTTTAAAAAATCACATGAAAACGCACGAGAAACTATCACAATCAGACAGCAACGTATGTATAATTTTATAATTTACTGTAATGAATATAAATAAGTTACTAAATTTTTGTAACTTGTAAGCAAAGAATAATTTATTTTTTATTTTGTTTTTAGACTGAAGATAAAAAGACTGCAAATGTAAACCAAAATATGAATACATCTGAAAGTACGGATATATCTAAAAAGATGGATAAAATGAATATAATTGGTCAACAGTCAAATGAGGCACCTGTGACACTAGTTTTTTATTCACCAATGGAACCATGTGAACAAAACTCGAATATTCACGCATCAGAAAACTTTACGGGCATTCAAACACAAAGTATTCTTAGTAATGAACATGACAATTCGTTGATGGACATTTCACGTCGTCAAGAAACCACTGATCCTAATAATTTATTTGACAATTTAAATGATAAACTCATGAACAATAGTAATGATAGCCAAACGATAATTGATAATTTCAGTGAAAGTGATATTAATGAGCAATTAAAATTATTCAATGAACTCCAAGATCAAGCAATTGGATCAAATGTAGTGGATAAAATCGAGGAAAATAACATAATGCTTTCGTCGCAGAGTCTCCTGCTTGATAATAGTATAAAAGATACTTCATCAACACTATCTGAAGCTAATCTTTTATCACTGCAAGATTTAAAGAAACAAAGTGAAGAAATTAAAAAGATTGAGTCATATTTAGAAAATGATACATCGTTTTATAATGCTATGTGCAATCAAATACAAAATAGTTTGAATTCCTCAAACACTAATCAATTTACAGTTAATGATCTTGATCAGTACACTTTCGGGAATAATGATACTTTCAAAGAAACCATTGAAATACCAGACATTTCAGTACCTTTGAATAGTAATCTTATTAATAGTAATGAATCCCATGCCCTGGAATTAGCTATAGCAACTGAAGAAGAACGTCAATTGCCGTGGATCGATGCTAACGCTGTTGCCAATCAACTGCCTGACAAAATCTTAACGCCCACAGAATTACCGATCATACAAACTCATTCTACTTGGTCTGAAACTAATGCACTTCCTACAGCAGTTCATTCACTTGTCAATTTACTGGGACCAGAACCTTATCCATTACAAATGACAGATTTACAGCAAAAAACCTCAATCAAAACAGCCAATATGATAGAATTAGAACAAGTCACAAATATTAATCCTCAAATTGTTATGGATTCTCCTGGGCTTTTAAACAAAATGAATCAAATAAATAATATAATGAATACGAAAAATGTTACAAGTATTAATCCTCAAATAATGATGGATTCTTCTAAATATATGAACAAAATTAGTTCAACCAACAATATGAATAAAGTTGAAAGTCCTAGAAACATGCTGCAAGAAATTACAGCTGATGCTGGAATTTGCAAGTGTTCAAATTGTAAATGTGATAGTGATGACAACAATTGCACAAATTGTTCTCATCCAGAAAAGCCAAATCAAGACATGCAGGAATCAAAAACATGTTTTCCATCTCAAGTTAATTTAGCTGATTTAGTTTCAACTTTTAAACAAAAATGTTGTTGCGATAATAAAAAAAGTTGCAGTTCATGCTGTGTTGTTATATGTATAAAAAATTTACAAGAATTTCAACAAGTGTTGAATACTTGTTGCAAAAGTGCTAACAATTCTGGGTGTTGTGCAAATAATTCTGAAATAAGAATTTAAAGTCTTAGAGCAACAAAATATCATTTTGTTACTTATTTTTAAGTAGTTATATTGTACTTATTGACATTTTGTTATATTAATTGTTATTTTATGCTTATTGTAATATTATTTTTAATTCATAAATTGAATTAAGCAATTCAATTTATTTTTTATCGCTTTTGTAAATTTATCTATAACTGTTACAAAAACAATATTGTTAGAAACTGTTCATTTTTATTTGTTTCTTTGTTGATTAGAGTAATTTATTTAACACATTTAAGTATTAAATATTGACTGTTAACAGTTTATTCTTAATATTTTAGACAAACTCTATTGGTGAGAAGCGTTATTAAAAATTTAAGATGTATGTGTTTCATTTTTGCTGATCTAAACTTTCACTCGTTACCATGTAGTTCATAAATAATTTAAAAGTTCATCAACATTCATAAATCAGTGTAATCTTAATGATTTATGTAAAAAATAATTATACATAGATCTTTTAATGTGTTTAATTAATAAGTTTTAAAGAGTGATGATTATGGCTGTTGAAAAATAAAATAAAATGACTTTATTGAGTTGAAAAAAAATGTGTTTTAAAAAAAATAATGTGTACCAAAACAATGTTGAAGTGCAATAAATAATGCTCTGATAAATTTAATGAACTAATCATTTTTGTAATTTAATTTTCTTTCATTTTTATAATTAATATAATTAATGTACAACAATAAGAATCTATGCTGTAGCTTGAACTATAGCCTCAGCAACTTCAACAGCGATGGCAGCTTCAGCTTTGTCTTTTTCAGACGATGCTGAATTTAGTTGAGATTGTGCTTTGCTGAGGATATCTTGAGCAGCAGAGCGATCTAATGACTCTAATGGGTGTGCTTCTTCAGCGAGGACCTAAAAGATATAGGGCATATTTTAATAAAGAGATTTGATTTAACAGTAATTGATTGACAAATATTTTTATGACAGAAACTTTTTGAAAAATATGGCCACTAAAATTTGATTTTCTATGTAATTATATTTAAAAGTTTAACTTTAAATTCAGTAGTTAGAAATTACTTTGATTAGTTGTAAAGATATGCATTTTAAAAGTTCCAATTTTCAAGAAATCAACGCAAATGTACTCACCTGCACACTAGAATCCTCATTAATGGTAACTGTTCCAGATGAGACAAATATTTTTTTTGTGTCTCCATTTTGTTCGTAAACTGTGACTACTCCAGGTTTCAACACAGCAAGGGTGGGCACATGCTTAGGCAAAATACCAAAAGAACCAGAGAAGCTGGGTACATCAACTTGCTTGACAGCAGCTTGATCATAAAATACCTGAATGAAAATGTATGCATTAGTATGAGATATGCATAGCATTTGAACAAAATAATAGCTGAAGACATACTTGGTTTGCCCCAGCAAACGTGAATTTCATTTGATCACCAGCGGGTGCATCTGCATAGAATCTTTTTTGAGAGCGAGTGCATCTCAAGAATGGCCTGAGGGTGCGAGCGATAGCAGCCATTTTTCTGAAAATTTAATTTGACACAGATATTAGCACTTCACAATCATAATACGGCTTGATATGTTACATCACAGGTTCTGTTCGTTTTATTATTTCACTCGATGTTTGCAAAGAAATGTGTAAATTAAAAGCAAAAAGGCGACAAGCATTAAGACCTAGCATGAGAAAATCATTCATATAATGTGTCAAAAATATTGATAAATTTAATAAACAATCAGCTCGCTACTCACAGGTGATAAATATTTTCACGAAAGCTGCAAAAAATGTCCAAGTAGACTTAGCAGCAGAAAGTCGCGAGCTCGAAACGCTGCTGCGCGTGCGTCACGCGACGAATCTCGCGGATTTGATTATCGAGCGTTAGGTTATATCACACGTATCCGCCTAATTTGAATGGTTCTTGGTTGGCTAAAGAAAACTTGTTTATTTTTAAAGACATTTTATTTATTCACGGTGTGCAATATGTGGTAAAAAAAAAATGGTAGCTTAACAAAGTTAACTGAATTAATTTTAATACTAAATTATTTTTTTATTTATACTCATGTTTCATTCAATTTGAGTTAAAAATATAATAGTGATATGAACAAGTTAAAATTTATATTAAATATGAATTCAATTTACATACATTTTTTTATAGTATTGAATTGTAGCTCAACGTTTTTTCTACAAACTAACCAACTTATCTTCAAATTATTTATATACATTTTTCTATGTACAGTGAAATATAACTAAAGTAAATTCATTAAATATTTTTAAGAAAACCACAAAAAAGTTAACATACATAACAAAAATTTTCCTTTTTTCAAGCACAAGACACTTGCTACAGCTTATCATTAAATTATAATTAAATTGGTATTTTATTACAAATTATTATACTGCATCAATTCCTATTTCAGCATGAAGTTGTTTTTTACTTCCTGGATAACTTTCCAAAATACAATCTAGAACATCATTGCACATTCTTTTGCGTTTAGAGTATTCTTTATTATAAAGCGAGAGGCTACTTTCAGCTTTCCTCTTGACTTCACTCAAATCTTGAGTTCCTGTTGCTTCCATTAATTCATCTAATTTTACAGATAGTTTTTCATTACTCTCCGTCAATCGAGCTTTTTCTTTTTGAGCTTCTTCATATGTCATTCCACATTTAAGCGAACTAAGAGCACTTTCTAGTTTTTTGTATTCAACTTGTAATTCCTGCAATTTTCTTTCTTGTTCGCTTTGATGAGCTAACAATTCTCTCTCAATCTTTTTAAGCTCTTCCAAACTTTGAGATGAATCTTGAATGATACAGTAAACTTTTTGTTTTCCATTAGTCTAAAATCATAATTGAACAAATTATTGATACAATTTCAATAAAAAACATTAACCAATAAAAAAAATGTTTACCTTGACAAAAATTTTTTTCCTGTCAACTAATTTATCAAGGGACTTTTGAATAGCAGATTTACCATGTTTTTCTTTATCTAGATTATTTGCCAAATCATTGGCACTGTAGGGCCTATTATGAACTTTCAAATAATTGAGAACAGCTTCTGTAGTCATTGTGCCCTGCAATGAAAGATGAATGTGAATTAATTCAAGTGACACAACAATATTGGCGGAATTATCAAGAAACGAGTTTGATTACTCGCTTACAATGTCTTAATATTTTGTTTTCGTTAGTAAATAATATCTTACTCTCAGATGTTAGTTGTAGGTTATTATAGTTTTATTATTTGGCTCACTTTGATATTAATATCTTCAAGAACTACGACGGCTACTTTTTCCATAAAAGTTTATTGCTGAAATCGATATTAAATATATAAGACAAAAATGATGAACATTCACACGCAATATTATGAAGTTTCAGCAGTCTGAGTCACAGCCTGACGCCTGTAGAATGCGGTATTTTGTTTTTGAATAACCGAAAAGCAGCTGCGCATACGCGCGAAAATGCACAGACGTGCGTTCGCAATTGATTTTTGACAAAACTTGTGAGTTTAAAACTGTCATTTTTTGACCCATAAGCAAACTAATTCTAAATTACATCGTTGATTTATTTTGAAAATGAAAGGACACCATAAAGATAAATATTCGTCGTAAAATTTACGATGAATCAAGTCTTACGAAGTATTAGAAGCGATAATGATAAGTGTTTCTAGCATCGTAAATTGTTTCAATTGTACGCAATAGCCTCGTAATCTCAATGATAATATGATTCTGCTTCTCATAATGCAACACGCCCGGCAACATTAAGTGATACTTGTTCTGGAAGTGTCGCATACAGAGTCTCGACACAAAATCAAATTTCAACGAATTAATATAAAATTTTATTTTATCTTCGTATATAAATCTCAAGACCGAGAGTATTTAATTTAATAACATTTGTTCTTAGTTAACCGAAGGAACAAACTGATAATATAAATATATTACCACCATGGTTCGTGTTTGTAAGCATCAAGTTTTGTTATTTATTTAAAAATATGCCTATTTTTTCGAGTAAATAATTAAGGATTTTTTTTATTAACATTGAGGATAGTAAAATATTGTACATTAAATAAATCAAAAATTATAACAAGTACTTACTGTATCGTATTTTGTTTTCGGTTGAAAAAAAAAAAGTAACGACCACAACACTAACTACGACCACGAAAGTAAACAAATCTCGATTAGGCGTGTGATGTCTCAAAACTACGATACCAAAGACTATGAGAAAACGACGAGACCCATTAGTATCATGCGACCAACTCATTGAAGTGTACCTACGAGTTTCGCTATTCGTTCTTTTTACTTTTTCATTATAAAACGACGCGATGCCTGCCTTGCAATGTAATCAACGCACGCGTGGAATAATTTGTAAATATAATTAGCTACACAATAATTTATAAGGATCAGAATTTTGGCGACGAGTGTCGATTCAAATTTTGATCGCGCTGTTAAATTATCCTTTCAAAATCGCCTATGCCTTGTTTTTGTGATTCGCAGTATTCAGCCTCGTTGCGATCGCTGTGACCATCGCTACCGTTGTTGCTGTGACCTGGGACACGATAGATTGTGACAAATTGCCACGCGGAAGTGCAGCGCTACGCTCGTCTCCCGTATTCGACGGGTGAGTAAAAAATTCAAATTTTATACTCGAACGAAGTGAAAGAAATGATCCTATATTTTATTCTCAGTCATAATGATTTGGCAAATACCATCTACGAATTGGTTAACAACAACGTGTCCAAGTTTGACTTTGAGAAAAATACGACCGACGATCCGGTGTGGGGCATCAAAGCTTGCAAGGAATGCATGACGGATTATCCAAGATTAGTCAAAGGCTCCGTAGGAGCGCAGGTGAGCCTCATATATCCATCGCGTATCGAATTCTTATTAATTGTCAAATTTTTCATTTCCTTTAAGTTCTGGTCGGCGTACGTGAACTGCAAGACCCAATACAAGGACGCAGTTCCGGCGACTCTCCGGCAAATCGACGTGATCAAACGTTTAGTCAATAAGTACAAAGGACTGCGTTTGGCGACCAATCACAAGGAAGTCCAAGACATCTGGGACGCACATCAAATTGCCTCGTTCATCGGAGTCGAGGGAGGCCACTCGATCGACTCCAGTCTGGCCATTTTGAGAATCTATTACGATCTCGGAGTGCGCTACATGACTTTGACCCACACTTGCAATACGCCATGGTATTTATTTTTTTCCCCCGACCGATACAAAATTTCAATATTTACGCGCATTTCGGTTGAATGAAAGCGAGTCTTGATCTTTGTTATTCAATAGGGCAGATGCATCGCCGGCGCTCGGCAAACCAGTGCACAATTTAACCGAATTCGGCAAAGTGAGTGACGCTGCTTTTCTAACATCGATCATTTAATCATCGTCAGGCTATCTGACTTATTTTTTTCGAAAAAAACGATAAAATATATTTTATCTACGCAGAAAGTCGTCTTGGAGATGAACCGTTTGGGAATGGTGGTAGATTTATCTCACGTTTCCCATAATGTGATGCGCGAGGCTCTCAACGTCACTAAAGCCCCCCTCATGTTCTCACATTCGTCAGTTTATGCGATATGTAATCATCATAGAAATGTGCCAGATGATGTTTTGCTCCAACTGGTAAGTTTATCTTATCATAGAAACGCTCATTCGTTGAACAACAAAAAAACAGATTCGCGATGCTATTAACGACTGCGTATTATTTCGATTGCAGAAAAAAAATGACGGAATTATCATGATTAACTTCAATAATGACTTTGTCAATTGCAACAAATCGAGAAATGCAACTCTCGAAGACGTCGTTGGTAAGAATCACTTTATTTTCAACTTTAAATTAATTTAAACGATTATTCTTTTTACGATCGAATTTTTCATTACCGTAGAACACATCAACTACGTAAGAGAATTAATTGGAGTTGACCACGTGGGTCTTGGTGCCGATTTCAACGGAATTTCCGAGTCAGTAAATCGCCATACAAATTCAAATCTTACCTTTAATTCATCCTTCGAAATTGATTTTTAATTTTTTTTTGTCACCATTAGACCACCAGTAGGCCTTGAAGATGTTTCCAAGTACCCTGCGATATTTGATCGTCTGTATAAACACAGAGAAGACGAATTAGCTTGGACCAAAGATGATCTGGAAAAGCTCGCGTCGCGAAACATGTTGAGAGTCTTGGAGAGGGTTGAGAAAGTACGTATGATTAAATGCTTGAATGAACTTGCTAAATTGTGCGCTGTAAACGTGATTGTAATTGTAACTTTTATTTTTTCAGGTTAGTGAAACAGAATCAAAAACAACCCCGTTAGAAGATGTTATAAATGTTGACGAGTTGAAATTTGCTCAAAAACAAGAAGGTCTTACCCCTGGTTCATGCCAAACAACACAAGAGTAAGTATTGATTAATATTTCATCTTCCTATAGTAATTGTAAAATTTAAAGAAAGAATTACAATTAAACTAAACTTATACATCAGTTCAATTGCATAAAATTTTGGAATTTTAATTTTTTTAATTGTTGAGATAAAACGTCTAGACAGTGGTTACTTTAGTAAGATTTCAAATTATCTTGTAAATAGCTTTTATGCTGAATATCAAAAAATAATTTCAGACATATTTTTCTTTGATAAAGAAGGTGTATTTTTCAGTTACACACTTATGTTTACCCTTAAATACATTGACTTGACTTTTGTAAAAATAAATTGATAAAAGAATAAATAAATTGATAAAAAATCGACTTGCGTATTAGAGAGTTTCTGTAGCGTAAATCACGATACATGTCTGAAAATGTATGTCAAACTTTTTCTTGAAATAATTATGTATTGAAATATAATGATTGCGCTAGTCGGTAGCTGAGGGGTGATCGTACTTTTACGGAACTTTTTGATAATACAAAATTTATATCAGTGATTCAATTTTAATTTAACGGATAAAAATGGGTCATTGGCCGACTATTTAAAGCACAATAAAATAGTTATAATTTACTACAATTAAAAGTAAAATTTAATTCTTAAAACTTTTTGCAGATGGACGGATCAATAAACAAAATATGTTGAATAAACAAGATGCATAAGAGTTGGCGTACCGAGAACAAATATTAAAAGAGATAAAAATAAATTGGCGTTGACCCGAAGACCTTGAAATTTTTGCAGAATTCAGAATGTATAGGTTCACCTCATCAATGCTACTTGGCCTATTAATATGGCCAATAGCGCAATGACGTAATCAGTACGAAATCAGCTCGCAATCAAACTACAGCAGCAGCGTTTTGACGTTTCTCCGATTTCTAAATTGTAACTTCTTTTCTCAGTCGTCGACTTTATTCAAAACAGTGCGCGGAGCCCGAAGCGTGTACAGACGAATTGGTTTCGCGAGTGCCGAAAATGGCTCTCATTGACTTAATATAAATTAATCATCGGTAAAATTGTTCAGTGTCGTTGCCAAGTGGCACATTTTTGTAGTTTTAATTATAACCGGCGTATAGCAAGAATAAACGTGGATACAGCGTACGATTTTTTCCCCCCGAGGAGTTTTGCACGGAACATTTAATCGAATCAAGTGTTGTATAATGAAAACGTCATAAGCACGATGCATTTTATGTACACAATCTCGTGGACCTGAAACAATAAACTTTGAAAAGCATTTTGCAGCGAATAAACTTGTTATTTTTTTTTTACTCTTCTTTTCTCTTGCACGCTCTCTTCATCGCCGTATTCTCGCACATGTAAATAGTCCGTTTAATAATGCATACTTGTAAATGTGCGTTTTGGAGCTGCGTCTTCGTTACATTCGTTGCGTTGAGTGTCAATACTAGCGATTCGTTTTCCGTTCGTAGCATACTAGGTAAGCATCAGGTCAAATTCGTTTTGTTCAAAGAAAATAGAAAAAAAAATCTGACATTCTACATAGAACCGAGTTAGTTGGTGAAAAAGTGCTTACGTTGTTTTTTCGTTTCGATTTGATTTCATGTGCGTGCGCGAGCAGCGTCGATATTTTACGACTCCAAAAAAGTTGCCAACGGCTTGAAGGATTTACGATTTCGTCATTACACCGGGTTAGTGCTCAGTTGTTTTACACGATTAATTTCATCTCGCGTTCGAAACGAGCGTAATCACGTCCCGCTTTACAGCTTTCCATTACAAGAGTTGGGAGATCGGAGTTTTTCCCTCGACCAGACGTCGGACGTGCTCGGGTCCATCGACCAGCAGAAGCCCTTCGTCCTCTACATCCACGGCTACGAGGAGCACCCGAGCAACGAGAGCGTCCAGACCATCGTGACAGGTACGGGTGTATTATATAGTACAATAAATTCATCGCAGATGAGTGATTTCAATTTTACGCGCACTCGAGTGATACACGTATACATAGTACACATATATATACGACTCGGGCGAACGAGAGCTAATATTCAAAGTTTGCGCTTTGTATTCGAAGCGTACCTGCAACGAGCCAGCGACAATATAGTCGTACTAGATTGGAGTGCAGTCGCCTTCGGTAACTACGTCGGAGTGGCACTGTCTACCGAGGATGTTTCCAAGTACACCGCCGAAGCTCTGGGGAAGTTGGTGTCAGCGGGATTGAACGTCAATACGCTGCACGTCATCGGTCACTCGCTCGGCGGCCAGATAGCCGGTTTTCTCGGTCGATATCTCGACTTCGTCATTCCGAGAGTCACGGGTATATCGCACGACGTCATTATTTTTTTTTATATAAGACAAATTGCTGAATACACCCGTGAAAAATGTTGTCGCAGGTCTGGACCCGGCGAACCCGATGTTTTATCAGTTCGGCGCCGAGCATATAAACGAGAAGAGCGGCAGACAGGTCGACGTGGTGCACACGGACGGCGGGGTTTATGGGGCCCTACCGAGCACCGGCAGCGTCGACTTTTTCGCCAACGGCGGATACAGACCTCAGCCGGGCTGTCCTACTTTCGGAGGATTTAAAACTTCCAAAGGTATATGACGAATTTGCATAAAAATCTTATCTACTCCAAAGTCCACTCTCGCAACTTTCTCATAATATTGCTTGGCTCGAATTGCAGAATTTTGCAGTCACTGGAGATCGTGGCGTTTCTATGCCGAATCCGTCAACCGCAATACGTCTTTCCCGGCCCTCGAGTGCGAATCTTACAGTAAATTCATCGTAGGCTCGTGCAAGGGAAACAGAGTCGTTCACTTTGGATACTCTCTACCACCGAACGTGTAGGTATTTTACCTAACGAATGAATTGAGCTCGCGTGCTTGACAGACGTGTTTGATAAATTAATTCCGAGTGCACGGGTTTTTTAAGAGTGCTCGTGCGTGAATGTGAGCACAATCTTGTCATTTCGTTACGATCAATGGATGCTTGAATCAAAAGCGACAAGTTTGCATTCAATTCAAAATTATTTTAATTGGTAATTATTTATCTTCTCGTAAAGTTTTAATGCGAGATATTATTTTTATTACAGAACTGGAACGTTTTACTTTCAAACAAATGCAGACGTGTATTATGGAAGAGGATTGAATGGAATATAAGGATTAAAAGGGTATTAAATCACAAGAGATGAAGATTCCTATAATATAATATTTTATTTATCCTAAGTTGTATAATACTTTACATGCGTAACTATTTCACTGTTACGAATTTGAAATCGTTGCAATCAAAACAGTCTAAATTAATTCATCTATATATGGCAGGGGAAGAGTTGACGTAATTAAATAAAATCTAATTCATAATGCTACTTGGCCTGGTTCTGCAAACAAAACATTGTAATTTATCATTCAATTGAAATCTGTAATAGACATGAAAAGTTTCGCAAACTCACAGCTGTCATTATTCCAGATACTCTAGTCGTCGTCCGAGTCGTTCGTGACTTGCTCGTCCTTTTGTAGATTGATTTCAGCGCAGAACGAGTCCCTGTAAAAACAAAATCTGATTTGTAAAAGAAAACAGAGCAAAACTAGTGAAAACTAACGCGATCAAGGAACGCTCGACCGAGTGCGAGAAAATAGAAAGAAAATAAAAAAAAATGTATAATCGTTTAAAGCTATATACTCATATCGGGGCAGAACGTTTAAATCGCTGCTCTGGCGTAAGCCCGAAGAATAACAAAAAGGCAAAGACTCGTCCTAGGTGAAAATGTGTACTGGTTGAAAATTACCAATCGCTCCTGCGCATGAATGGGAATATCGTGGGTGTAGGGCAGCCATTGAAGCCCGAAGCCAAACAAGACGTGTAGGCGCCCATATTTTCCCAGTAGATCCAGTCGTCGATTTGAAACTCGGGCAAATAAACGTCCTTGGCTATGCAGTCGAAAGAGTCGCAGGTCGGCCCCCACAGCGTCGACAAGTGCACCTCTTTTTTCTCGTTTTCCGCCTGGTTCTGCAGCGCAGCGAGAAAATAGCAATATTTATAGTTTTAATTGGGATTGGAAAAAGTTTCGAGGTGCGCGCGTGAATACTCGCGTGTCGAGCGTGTTGGCTGTTGGTAGGAGATCGAGCGCGAATCTGTACGCGCGTCTCGTGTGCGTGCAAATCGAGTTATGCTTCTATTTTTTAAGGTCACTCACGTATAGGGGGGCAGATGTATCTCGTATCAAGAAGCATAATTCAATGGGCGCACGTTTCGCGCGCGATAATCGGATCAAATTCTGCATCGCACGTCTCGCTTTCTCATTCAATTCGAGCAGCGAGCTGTACGCAATTGAAACGCCAATAAAAATGTACAATTAAAAATTATAGTTCGCAGCTCGATCGTCTTGCGGCGCACGGCGTTGTGCTTCAATTTGAACGCCTTATGTCCGAGGGAAAAAAGCAGGTGGCAATGTGAATTCGTTCGATTTTACCGGGGCGAGGGAGCCTTTGGGCAGCCTGTGGTAGAGCTGGAGCGCCTCGTCGAAGAACGAGCCGTACACGCCGTCGTTGACGTAGTAATTGTATCTCTCCGTGCCGTCTTCGCCAACGACGACGTTCTTGCCGTGCACATAAGCCGCCGCCTTGATTGCCGATGTCACGTAATATCTGCCGGGCTCGCTGATTATACGTATCGACGGATCGATATCCGCCACTGCCTCGTTGATAACGTCGGCGAACTGCGGACAATAAAAATTCGGAAAAGTCTTGTAAAATTTTTCGTATACAATTTCGTGTATAAATGTTAAACTTCATGCAAACAAGCTTGTTAAGTATTATTATTATTATTATTATCGTTATTTTTCATTCCGCTACATTCGTGCTCGCTGAACATGCTGCTATTGTGCATTGTTTTGCATACAGCCCGAGGGCTTAATTGTATACGTTAAAAAAAAATCTTGTTAATTAAGATTTGAGATTCGTAAGGGTATTAATAATAATGGTGCAAAAATAGCAGGTGCTGAGTATGTTATTTTTAATAAAATTTGTTTCGGTTCATTTGGCTGTTGAAACAAAGAGCGATACTGTAGAAGAATTGAATAATTATAACGTTAATCTTTCGAGTGAATTATTCAGTGAAAAAGCTCATTTTTCAAGTGCAGTGCGCAAATATTTAAATTTTAGGCATTTTACGTAATAACCTTCTTTCTCTTACCTGGATATCAGGGATAATTTTTTCTAACAATTTGCTTTCTATTTGCATAATAATTAATCAGAAATTCTATTATTCTTTGCAAGAATACTTTAAATGTAATGTTAATCGATTAGATTTCATCATGTATTTCAAAAAATTTGTTAGCCACGATTTGATTATAAAACATCTAACACGTATCAAAGAAAGAGACCAGATAATTAAACGATTACATTATTACTTTTATTTGTGCATTTTCATTACAATAATTAATAATTGTAACATTCGCTAATGAGATTCCATTGGTAGATTTTTTACTTTAACACACTTTTTTTAACTCCTATAGGAATTTTAGTACTAATAATAATACTCAGCTGGACGGAACACGATACATCGCATTAAACGCGATTTTCGATCGAAAACATCTATTTGTCATGGATATTGCTCATAGAATACGCGCTCGGCTAAACTCACGCAGGTCATTCACCGAAGTATCATTCATTTGTTTTTATTTTCCACTAGAAGTTCATAAAAAAAGCAATCTAAACTTATCGTCTAAACAAGCGGCGTTTAATCAAGAAGTCATCTATTTTATCAACTATCTAAGTTTATAGTCGTATCTTTTTTTTTGTTTGTTTATTTTTTTTTTCGCTGACGTGCACCACGCGTAAATCTACCCCATTAATTTAAAAGGACACACGGAAGTCAGGGAAGTAGCTCCCCAGCACTATCTCGTCTCTCTGTGTTTTCGAGGGCAAAAAGAAGAGAGGAATTCGGCGTCGATTCGAGAGCGAGAATCTCGGGTTAAGTTAGAAGCCCGCCACAAACTCATTAATTTCCTTCAGAAAATAAAACAACAACAAAAAAAACAGTCACTCGAAGCTCCAAAGTTTGCAAAAAAAGTCAAATTATTCCGGAAAGTCCCGCGCAATCGACCGAGTATCATAGATAACAACACACGGCATCCGTGAGCTTAAAAACTAATGCTAAGTATTTGCTTTGTAAAATCGAAACGATCCACGCCTATTGCGCATCGTAAAAAACTGCACGTGCCTAGCAATAAAAAGAGCCCGTTCGTGAGGTATGGGTGTGGGGGCAGTCCTGTGGAAGGGTAATAACGCACTTAAGGTCGCCACGGCAGAGCGAGGCGCTGAGTCGTGGTGGACGTGGTGGTGTGCTTCCAGGTGACCTTTTTGACTCGTTTATAGTTGGTCCAGTGGGTGCGGTAATAATCGGGCAGCCAGAATATGAGGTGGCGATAATTGAAGAGCATATGCTTGAACATAAAGGAGCGCTCGAGATGCGTGAAGTGGTCCCATACCTCGTCGAGGACGAACTCGCTGTCCCCGGGGATGCCGCCACCGATGTCGATCAGCTGGACGTCGTAGAGGCCGTACGAGTGGGCCACGTCGATGAGGTAGCGCGAGATGCCGATGCCGCGGCTGAGGGCGGCCACCTCGCCGCAGGGGCTGCCCACGTGGAAGCTGAAGCCGTGCAGCTCGAGGCCGAGCTCGCGGCAGCCGCGGATCAGGCGCTCGGCCTCCTCGCCCGGGTCGCAGCCGTACTTCAGGCCGAGGTAGGCGTCGGACAGGGCGGCGTCGCAGCGGAAACGAATCACGACCCTGTGGACAAGCGTAAAAAATTTCGCGTTCGTCAAGTTGCACTACTTACTTCAAGAGCGAAGGATAATTTACGAGTGTGTAAATTTTCAATCGATCGATCGGTGTCCTTGAAATCGCACGGCCAATTAAAAGTTCATTATTTCGTGAGCATAGACTCGCGAACGAGTAGCAATTTAGGTCGTTTTGCAGTCTTTTTATGTGACACATCTCGACGCGGCTTGTTACGTAATTAAACTATTTGTTAGGCGTATTCAAGGTCTATCGAAAAAACAAAGTAAAACTAACGACGGATGCTGAGCGCGAAACCAATCGGTGAATCGATTTCCATGCGATCGTTTAATTAAAGACTTGCTGATTTAATATCATTTCAAGTGTCTCAACTTGAAATCGTACATTGATAAGATTATTTACTTCCAAATCTTTAAATGATTCAAGTTCTATTTTCGAGGGAAAACACAGGCTTACATCAGAATTTTATCTCGTGTGATGTAAATGATATATATACATTGAATGAATTATGAGCTTACTTTTAACACCGCTAGATTAATTATGTCATCCAAAAAGTTCAGTTTAAATGTCATTAGCTCAATATTTTTGTTTCGTGCATAGTAAATTCGAGTATAATTGTAAAATGTTTGGGGACTGGAAATGTTATAATGATTCAAATAATTACTTGGCTTCTGGGTAGAATTCCTTGATTTTTCTCAATTCCCACATGCTGTCAGCTGTCATTTTTGATACTCCGACTTTTTGAGCATACTTGATTTGCGATGGAGTCTTCACCGGGTTAGCAAAGATTATTCTGTCCGGATGAACACCGTAAGCCAAAACAGTAACGATTTCGTTCTGCAAATAAAACAAATAACAATCGATTTGAAAAAAGTCATTGTACTTTTCTGTTAACTTTATTGTATCTGCAAGTAGAGCATGCTTTACCTTGGAAGCACAATCAAAGTGAGATCCCAATGATGCCAAAGTTTTGATAACAGTTGGATTCGGATTGCATTTTACAGCTGTGAATTCAACTCTTCATTATTAATTGTTCTTTTTGGATTGTTAAAAATATGTCAATAAAGAAAGAAATGAAGTTTTTTTCAGCAAAACAATACTAAATCAAATACAGCCAAAGGATTTTTTGTTGTTGAAATTTTAATTAATTTAAATTAAATTGAGCCAAGGGGTTCCCGAAGCTTGGATGAAAATTAAAATTATATTGAATTTTTTCCAGAAATTATAGTGTACATTATGAAATTTTCCGTTTTACCCGGGCTCTGAAATTTTCTCAAGACTTTTTTTTGTATTTAGCGCACAGTCACATTAAAAAACTTTGAAACTTCACTATTTTCACTGTTATTGAATAATTTTATTTAAATGAAATATCGCACCGTAATGAGGCACCACTCTGGGAATTTTATCCACCCAAACTCGATGCTTCCTCACAACATCTCCGACATCCAGAAGATGGAAGGGATCCTCGAGATTCTCCAGGGCGATGATTTTCCTCATGATCTCCAGATCATCGAGTTTGTCGTCGAAAATACGGATGTCGTCGAAATCGTGGGGCAGCAACGAAAGAGTCATCTTGGCACTTGTGTGTATTTTTCGTTGAAAAATTCAAAAAAATCGACCGACCGTACGGCAGCAGTAGTAGCAGCAAAAACAAAAACTTTAGTAAAATTGTAAAACGAGCGGTTAACGAAGCGGGTCCGCGAGGTGTGTTTTCTAAAGCAGTGTAAGCACCACGCGGTCGTAACAGAATTTGCACTTGAGCTTCGCGGAGGTTTGGCATTTATAGGATCTTATAGGCGCGAACGCGGAGCGCGCCCACGAGTTTCCACGATAAGCCGCCGCGCGTGTGTACGTATATTTTTTGTTGCTATATTGGTAATGTATGCAAGTGTGCGAGCGCGTGTGTGTATGTGTATTCCGCGAACATCGAAAAATCAACACATTTACGGAGAGCGTTTGTAACGCTCGTGGACGCATGATATCGTCGTAAGCAGTATCAATGATTAATTTATAATCAATTTTACGTTATTGCTTGTTCATCGCTTATGCTAAATGATCAACTACCTATACAGGAGGTAAAGCCTTTATCGTTTCAAAGTACAATGACATTTATGATTGACTTTTTTTAATTGAAATCAAAAGAGAGTTTTATTTTTTTATTTTGACCGACTCCATCGTAAGCGGGTTACAATTGTGCTCCAAGTTTGAAAAGACAACATTACCTCTGTTTCCATAGTATCTTCGTATTTGTATGGGATTACACTGTTGTCTTTATAATACCATCAAAATTATAATGGCGCATTGTAAACATTTTAAATACAGCTCGCCTCAAGCCATTACTTTTGAAAAATACTCAGTAAAGCAGAAACGTCATCGCTTTAATATAGTAAATATAAAAATTTGGAATTAGCTCTGGGAGGTATAATCAACATGTAAAAATTCACAATTAAATCGCGGAAGTAGAGAGAACTGTTGATTGTATTTGTGCAATTGTTTACTGTTTTTCAGCGACTAGAAAGATAATTTCTTAATTTTTACATTCAGAGGATAATTGATTCTTCGTTGCGAGATAACGAGCTCGATAATTCTCAAAAATTTTAGAATCGTAAATCAAGTCGTTCTTTTTCGTTTATTTTCCACTTTGGTGCGGTAACGAGTACATCTACCACATACAGATATATAATGCACATATACATTTTTATATTTCTGTATCATTGAGATTATTTAAATTTACGTGCAAAGAAATCGGGAGCACAATTTGAGTAAAAATGATTGTCATCTGCACCGAGGGGGAAAAATTTCTTGAAATTATTAATCACTCTCGAATTTTTCTCGAATTGTTTTATAATTATTATAATCATTTATCCAACACACGCCTACGAGAACAATACGAATTATCTGAATGGTCACGCGAAAGTCAATTTGTATCAATTTTTAGCAAGCCAATCGCACGATGAATCAACGCAGTATCGAATCGGAGAAAGCAGAGTGCACGAGGCCATGCGATCATAATATTGCATAGCGTACATCATGGTACATAGCACGGGTTTGTACAAGTTACTTGATAATTCTGATTATTACATCATTCCTGTGACCAAAAGGAATCTAAATTGCAGAATCTTAGAACACATAATTAAGCGCATGCCGGAAATACTCCTTGCATAATGAGCTCTTGATTTCAATGAGAGCCAAAGCCTTTAAATGCATATTGTACCTTGAGCGAGCGGCATTGTCTTTTGCAGCTGAATCGTTTAGCTGAAGTTGGTTGAATTCTTAAGGAAGATGCGTTGTGCAGAGGCAATTTGTGCAAGTGAATTTTCTAATCACGTCAATACATGTTCTTTGTCCAATATAATGATTATGATAGTGTATTCAAGAATTATTGAAAAATGTGGAAAAAGGATGCTCCGCCTAAGGTTCTGTGATTATAAATGTTCAAAAACGTAATACTTTCCACCACGCTTTGCACGGCTACAACTCCCCCGTAGTTTCAAAATTGATAACAATTTCACTAATGCTTGATTAATTACCGATTGATTTATTAGTGCGAAAGTGACATTGATATAAAAATTTATTAATTAATTAAGTTTAAAGCGTAAACGACTTACGACAACAACATCGACAAGCCGCCTACGCAACGTGCTTTTTTTTTAAGATAGGATGAGCCTCGAAGTTGATAACTACATTATGCAAGGTATCATTAGCACATAAAACTTTTAATCGATGCACGATCGCTTGTGCTTTTCCAAACTGTTAACATATTCGGGCTGAACTGAAATATCCAAAGCCTCGAATTCTGCCGCATAAATATCCATGTATATGTAAAACGGGTATCGCTATATATGCGCCATATATATTGCAGTCCAGCCGGGTCGATGATGTGGTTTCTAGCGGTAATGGAGTTGAGATGGAACGGAAATTCATTACCGGTTCGGTTATGGCTTTTATAGGTCTTTTTCGTGAAAAATACCCTTGGACAATGTGCAACATAACAATGGCATATACATCGCAACGATTGCGATGAAATTTGAAATTTCATGTAAGTCGATTTAAAGCCAGTCATCATTTATTAATCGATTGCTTCTGGGGTAAATTCCGAGTTCCTTTGTATCTTTATAACAAATAGAAGTAATTGAAATAAAAAAAAAACAGTCGACTGAATTTGTGGTGTATTCATTCTTTTATCTCGCGCCTGACTTGCAGTATTTTCTCTCTGTATAATATCGATAAATGTAAAATGCAAATAAATAAACAAGTGCGAATTGCCTGCGGGGGTGATAAACAATGTCTTGTTGCCTCGCTCGTTCGCCGAGATTTGCACTGGTAAACTTTGATGATAATCGAGCTTGCTCTCCTTCCCTCTTTCTCCTACTATCGCGTTCTAGGAACGATGTTTAAATGGGAAAATTTTTTTTCATTTCATTTCCGTCGAGTGTTGATGAACCTCGCGCGCCTCTCATCAAAAGCTCGTGGTTTGTAAGGCACGAGCGATAGAGACGGGCGCACAAACGTTAACGACCGAGTGCGTATGCACGGGGCAAAGAGATTCGAGAGCAAAGTAAAGAATCGAGAATCACGGCGCGCGTGTGCAAGAGTCAAATTGTCTCGTTTCGACTTCTCAAGCTCTATCATAAATAATGAGCGTTTCACAATTCAAATATCGCGCGTGCAATCGTACAACACAAGTATATATGCGCAATGCTCGTCGCGGTTCACCTTCGAAGTTCGACAATCGCGACGACACGCGGGTTGTTCGTTCGATCCGGGTATCGCGAAGTTGTCCGAATTTCACAATATCTCTCTGCAGCGCCGAGCGATGAGCAAATACATGCGCGCACACGCGAAATTATCATAATCGGGGCTTATCGACGTAAGAGCCCGGAGTGCATACTTCTGCTCATTATCAGCCTCGATGTATCTATATAGGTACCAGCAAAGGTAAAGTTTGCTGGTGATTACGCCCCCCAGTGGTGTATCCTTATCTCCGTCGCGCAGATTTCTCGAAGGAATATATCGGCGACGTTGCACACGCTTACGCACACATGCGTACACGTATATGTGTGCATTAATTGATGTTTACCATTTACTACTCGCTAGTTCTCTTCTGTCTCATGCGCGGCTTACACCCACACACATACGTATTATATACGTTTGCGCGTGTCTGTGTGTGGATGGATTCTAGAGCACGCAGACATGCACGCCGAGTCGCATATAATTATCTCGTTGCTTTGATCGCGCGCTGATATACGCAAGGCACGCATATCGAAACCTATGCTGCACGAGTGTGTGTACACAAGTGCATCGACGACTTTGTAGGGGGCCATTTGTATACCATTCGAACGAGCATCAACGCGAGAGTCCACTCGTTACGAATTAATTGCGGGGATTAAATATCCTCCGAACGATCGTCGTCTCGTTTGTGCGCAGGGGGCCGAGGATGCATCGGGTACTCGAGGGCCATACCGATGCCGGTGCTCGATCGCGCTCCGAAAATCACTTGGAAACGAACTCGAGCCTATATAATATGTACGCTATATACAGCAATAGAGAAATCGTCTCGACGTTGATAAATTCGAACGAGGTGATTCAATTCTTCTTTTCCTTTCGTAATATATGTCATTCATTTGTTGTACAGGGAAAATCAATAGACTGCTCACTCTTCGCGTACACACGCGCGCGGTGTTTACAAACAAAGCGGGGAATGATTATGTACTTTTGCGCGCGAGGGCATATACACGCCGCGCTTACGAGTGGCGACTCCTGCAGACATCACCGATTAGGAATTCGTCAATCTAGATTTTCCAATGTGCCTGATGCAACACTCGTGAAATTCCATTCGATGATTTTTCACTCTTGGCGCAAAAGAGGCGCGCATGCGCGGTCTAAGCAAACTCGCGCGGTTTCAAAGTCGGCTATCGCGGCTCGCGGATCGATAAACAAACAGCGCGAGATCGTTATTTTTAAAAATATTCTCCAGTGGCAAATTATATCGCCGTGAGCGCGAGCGCATTATATACATCATAAAGGCAATTGTAAGAGACAATGGCTCGAGCCGCGACGACGATCGCGACCGCACCTCCGCGCGCGTACAAACGGGTTACGCTCGTTAAATTCGCGAAAAAGGAGGAAAACAAAGAATCCGCGCCGTTCTTCCTGCTTTTCGTAAAGGCCTGCCACAGGCTTATTATATGCGTTTTTGAGTAATTATTATCTCGTCGCAATATCGCTCGGATAACCGCGCAGCCCTCATTAAGAGTCGCGCGCGTATACGTATACGACAGCGACTGCGTGCGTGTAAGGCTATTAATTCTGCGTTTTGCGCTGCTTCTCTCTCGCATCGAGAGCTCATTTGAATGAAAATTTTTAGTCAAATGCGAGTGCGTTTTCGGTAGCGCTTACAGAGCGCGCGTACGCATATAAGTGCGACGATTATTGTGGCCGTCTACTTTGCCGCGTATATCGGCGATGTGTCGCGCGCGCGACCGCCTAACGGCAATTATTGACGAAATAATCCAATGCGCTTTATAAGCGAGCATAATTAATCTTCTCCTGCCCGATGTTGTTGCCGATGAATAAATAGCGAGTGACAAGCTCGCGTGGCGCGTGTCGTCTCTTCCCATATTGGATCAGTCAATTACATAGAGATATTTCCTCGTTTGCGCTTTTATGCTAACTTCCCAATTATATTGAACAGACATCTCATGAGTAAACTGAAGAATCAACTGCGTGATTCTTATGGGTTTTATTGAGACCGTTTCCGCTTCTGAACGTGAATTAACGTTTCACACCCTCTTTTAAAAAAGGAATGATCTCGATAGTGAGGGCGGTCTTCCTGATTTATTTGTAGAGTTGCGCTGGGTACAATTTATCCGTTTTCTATTGACGCTACGCTGCGCGTATGGATGCAGTTCCCCACTTAATGTGTAAACGAATGGCAAAATAAACCATATAGAGTGAAAAGTGTAAAGTAATAAAATTGTTCATTGTAGTAAAAAGCCGACTTATAATTCATATTATAGAATATCTGTTACTCTCAAGCTGATGTGCCAAAATACAATGTCTTGAATTATTACGTTTTTCAGTCTGCTCTACTATGAAACATTTTGTTAAAAGCCCATTTGGTTAACTCGTTCCACAATAAGGAAAGTGATCGGACATCGTTCCCCAACGAGGGCGTTTACCTGTCTCGATTCTCTTCCTGCAAGTGTATAAATAGGTAAAATACATCTGCTGCACGAGGAGAACCGCTGCATGCTGTGCTCGTTATGGCATTATGCTGTACGGACGTAGCGCGCGCTAACGCGTGCCTAATATCGGCATCGGAGCGAGGAGAAGCGCCCACGCTTTGTTATGTCACGCTGATCTCAATATTATGCTATGTGCCAACGCTCGCAATGCACACACACACACACACACACACACACACACACACACACACACACGAACACAACATATAAAGCAATCGGTTGCGCTGAAACCGCGACGACTCGAGCTGCGGTGCGACTCCATGCAACTATACCTATATGTGTGTGTGTACGCGAGCGCGTGTTAGCGTTCGTTACGGCTCCAAACAATGGAGAAGAGGTACGGAAGTACGCGAGGTACATAAGCGACCCTGCCTTATATTTGCAGTTTATTTGACGGACGCGCTGTCGTTCCTAACGAATGTCCCATGTAGACTGCACTCGCTCTCCGCGAATGCCGCTATATAATATATTACGCGTATGATACGCTTCATTACGGGCCTATGTACTGTTTTTGAGCGATGGACAATTGACTGCGAGGATGATCCGATCAAAGAAATAAATCAATCTCGCTCGGCTTTATTGTTATCGAGTCTTTTATTCTTTTGATGTTTCTGTTGATACAACTCGTGGACAATAAAATATCGATCTTAAACAATAAACGCGTGGATCAAAATTTTCGGATTTTCGGAATATTGGTTCAATATTAATTTTGTTTTTGTTGTGTCAACTTGGAAGATTTTTCATTGAGTAAACAGTTTTTTTGTCTTTTCGAGGTGCTTGCATCACGTATCTCGCACCATGACACTCGATAATTAAAAATACCTTTTACGAACAATTTATTTTTGAAATATCAAATACTGCCAAACATTTTTTTCACTTTTTTCATTGAGCTGGTGTAGAAATTTATGTAGGGTAAAATTGACAATTATCAAACACAACGAATTTAAAACGTGCTTTTAATGTTCCTGACCAATGTTTGAATTTTAATAATATGAAAAAAGTTTGAAATCGAATTTACTGGTACGTTTTATTAAACTAATTTTATAACCATTAAAAATGTATTAGAAAACTATTAAATTACGGGTAATAGTGACGATAACTAACAATCAACTATCTATAGATTTTAGACGAAATAAAGAGTCATTACAAGAGCTATTAGGATTTTTCCTAGAGGAACTAAGCATCAAAGGAAAACCCTTTAGGCGATTTTTCGGACACATCGGCCTCGCTTTAAGGAATTCCAAACTTAGAGCCCGCCAATCCAACAAAGCCCTCAGTGTGGGCTTTTTGATTTACCAATATTATTCTCTCGGAAATCTCGCGATATAACGAAGGTTCCGGTAGACCTGTCTCATACATCGGAATAAGCCTGCATTCACCTTTTAAGTCGATCGTATCTTCAATATCTTTTGGCGCACAACTATAAGGATAAGGTACCTGGCACACTTCTCGAATCTCTCTAAGTAACACGCTAGTCAATTGAGTGTTCACGCAGTAACATGGGTTAAGTTAGCTGGCTTGTCGTCTGTTAGCCCTAAAACGAGCCGAAAAAGTCTTGTTTTCGCATCTTTTGTTAAAAAAAATATTGAAAAAACGACTGGCTACCTCTATTTTGAGACACAGTTTTGGAAAGATGAGAACTTTCTCTACAATTTGTATATAATCATTCTCCTGAAAACTTTGATTTCTTTTCATAAATTATGAATGTAGCTCAAATTCTCATGCATTTCTATGTTGCCCACGTTAATTTACGAAACTTTGATCGCGTTTTCTGGAGATTTTGCCTGGTTTGCGCATATAAGAGTTATACCATTGGATTCGGGAGGTCCAAATCTATCGATATTGGTATATGTACTTCTTGCGAATTTTGCAAGGGAACCTCCTTAAGGACGTCGGGTATGCAACCAAGTTCAAATCAGCAACTATCAAGAAACAACGGAAAATAGATACTTGATTTGACCAGGGGGTCGGTGGTATCATAGGCTCATAGCCAATACGCATGCTATCACGCGTATTTTTGTCTGCTGCTAACCTCTTGAATAAGATTGCATGTAGAGCAAACACGAAATTTTTTTATTCTTATAAAATTACTTTGAAATATGCTTGTGAATTACAATATAACCAATACCATTTGAAAGGTAATAGCTTCATCTTTAATTAGAGTCACTCGTCCAGTGATTGAAAGGTTTAGAAAAATTGTGCTTTCAAGCAGCTCGGATGCATATTTTAGTCAATTTCAGGTAATCGAACCAATAGTTTGTCAAAGTTCATACCTTCCTCTACCTATTAGAATTTTTACAGAATTTTCAATTGAGTTTTTCATTTATAAAAGTTTATGAAAATGAAAAAAACGTGCTTTATCAGTGAATGAAACATTCGATTTAGTGAATGAAAGCCGCGAAACCAGTAAATGAATGTACAAATATAAGTTTTAGTTTCTTATTCAATAAAAAAGGTGATATCTTACAGTCTATATTGATTATCAAATCAAAGTATGCTTATATCTGTACTTTCATTTACTGGGCAAGTGCAAACTATTCGCAACACCAATAAATGAAAGTTGAAAAAGAGTGAAATTTTCTAATTAAAACTTGATTTACTGGAATAGCAATTGTTTAACATATAAATGACAGTTTTACAGGTAATTAGTCCGGTATAAAAGGTTTTGAGATGCTTATTCTTTGACAGCGGATCTTCCAAATTATGACGATCTTCAGCGATGAAGTACAAAATGACCGTATTTTACGGCTCAGCGAACGCTGCGTTCGTAAATTAATTCCTATCGTTAAACTATATTGATTCTGGACCTGATAACCATTCGAATAGTTAGCAATAATACCCAAGAATAGTATAAAAATTCGCCGTTCATGAATAATGTCGTTATCAATTAATAATTTTTGTTTAAAAAAGTGCTTTCATTCACTGGTATGCTTTCAATCACTGGATGGGTGACTCTACGTGAAATTTGGTCACGATCTTCCATCTTTATTACAAGTTACACTTAAAATCGTGTGAAATATCTTGCGCGCTTCTATGATAGCCATGTTAAAAAGTGTACTTTTGAAATTAAAATTTACAAAATTTAACTCGACAAACGAAGCTGAAATTTTGGGAGAAAATTATATGGGTTTTTTAACAATCAATTCCCGATGTTTCGACTTCATGGCCCATCTTGATCCAAAGGTCCTCAACGTCCTTAACGCTTACTTCGAGAATCAAAGTTTCTTCCTGTGGCATGAAAATATGATAGCTTCTTTTCTCTCTTCTCAGATTTGAGTCCAAGATCACAGTGTAGACACACAACACAAACAGGCAAGCTGCATTCTAATTATGTTGTACATAAACATATAGGATATGCATGTATTGCTTCCTCCTTGCTTTTCTCGTCCGAATGTCAAGTTCAAAATTTCATTTTCTAATATGGGATGACTGATTTTGCTTCCTCATAGAGGAAGTCCTGTGATAGGCTTGAAATCGAGATTTGGAACCAGACGTCGTAGGACAATTTGGTTTACATATTTGGAAACTACATCGAATTACTAACAAATGTATGTATGAGTTTTTGTTTTCTCGGCCTTTTGGCTAACATAGAAGACCAGTGATCGTATGGTAGTTAGGACACTAGACAGTGAATCAAAATTTAAAAATACGAATTTTCACGTTAATAACCGATGCCATTTATTAATATTATTTTTTATGAGGAAGCTCTTTGCCAATAAATTGGCAGCGGTTTTTATTAGTATTGATACATGAAAATAAGAACAATCATATTTTTATGAGGAAACTCTTTGTCAATAAATTGGCTGTGACTTTTATTACATTGTTAACATGCTTTTCTTCGATACGAACCTTTTTATGAATGAAAATGTCGAAATTTGAGATGAAAAGAAATAATTAAAATAATTCGACTTTTCATGACTTTTCTACCCTTTGAATATAAGTAAAGTATTGTAACATACCATTTTTCATTTATATTGAGGTTCGTATCAAAAATAATTTTTTAACGAACCAGGAGAAATTAAAAAATGGTTAATGTTTTTCAACATACGTATCAAACAAGATAAAAAAGTCAATTCGAGAAAAATGCGTTTAAAGTTTAACAACAACTAAGGTATACGCCCCTAATTTCGATAAAATTTAAATCAATTTTTTATATTGGATTGAAACTTCATATCTGATTTTGAATAATGTATTTCTGTTGAAGATGTTCGATTCATTAAGCCAATTATTAAAAAAAAATTTCTTACGTACAATTAAGTTGTTAATATTAATTATTGATCGAATATAGGTACATGATCGTGAAAATAGGGGCATATACTGTACTGAAATCTATCAGGAGCTTGCTCCGCTTTGAAACTGTACAGTGTAAACCTACCAGTGATTGATTGGCACCCACTGAATTACCGTTTGATTAAGAATTATTTATAAGTTGAATTTTCAAATTTCTAATAGTTTCCTAACAATGGACAGTAATATAATTATTGTACTAATTATCTTTTGATTAATGTAAGTTTTATAACTCCGAACATAAACTTATCATTTTTAAAAATAATAACAATGCTAAAATGATTTTTCAATATTTTTAAGTGATAGAAAATTTAATTAGCTAGGCAATGAGCCAATTAGTTTTTTTTATTTGCAATCATTAAATTTTCTTAGATATTCAAAAGTTGAATAACGACAGCTTGGTCATCACTGGTGGGTTTACTGTAACACGAAATATTTTAAATCTGATTAAAATCTGACATTTCTTGAGCATATTGTTCAATATCCTCTTCACAATTTATCTAATGATAAAGAAGTTAATTTTTTGACATCTCCAAACTTAACTCTGTAATTCAAAATTATTCAAATGCAATGAGACAACTGCCATAAGCGATCAGATTCACATTTTTTTTGTGTCAAAGATCAAAGTAAAATTCGTTACAAATTCTTTTTTTTTAAATATTATTTTGTTTATAGAATATCTAGGTTTTGAATGTCTGCTTTATGGCTAGTGGCTTATAATCTTGCTTTTACATTAAACATACATGTATCAAGTTCATGGAGTAAACTTTATATTAAACTTTATATTGACACAAAAATTTTATAAGCTTGACTTATCTACATTTAACCAATCAAAATTTTACTTTGATTTTAAACCCTTTTTTTCTCATTTCAAACTGAGTTTATTTAAAGTTTGAACATTTTCTCAAAATTTATTATAAATAGTCTTTTATAATTGTTGACTACTACTCTTTTAAACATGAAACTGAAAAAATTAATCTTACTTTAAGATTCAAAAAACATCAAGTCAATCATAAATTTATCAATTTAAAGGACAACTATTTAGTGGTATTTCTTAAAAATACCAACAAAAAATACTGAAAAGAAAACTCTGTAAATAAATTAGAACTTTAGAGCAATGGAAGTACAAATAAACATTTAATTTCAAATCAAACTCTAGAGATTGAAATTAATTGTCGAGTTAATCCACGGCATGCATTAATCACATTGCAAGAAAACAAGATTGCAACTATTCATTGACTATACGATTTCAGATCTTAAAACTCGGTCCCCTAAATAATTCATTTACTCCAAAATTCAAAAGATTGAACCTACTTTCAATTCTTGACGTGATATAATCAATTCATTATAAATACCATTCAATTTCAATAAATAAGTGATCTAATTTTTTGAATCGTTTGTTTCAAATCCAAAATCATCATCTGCTATACTCATGAAATATTTCCTTGGAGTATGCGAAATTTCAATACCTTGTCGCAGAAGTCCGTTATGACCAGAGTTAAAGTTTTTCTCTTTAAAAAATGCATGATGAATAACATCTTCATCTTCTTCGTGTTGAATAAACCTTGCAACTCGTTCACGTCTTAATGTTTCAGGAGATGAGTCATCAACAAGTCTTAGATTCTCCATTGTAATGTCTGGTCTATGAGTAGTAAATGCATCGTCCTGGTAATTGCTAGCTGTAGTCTTGTTCTTCTTAGCTTGTTTAGTTCTGGATTTTCCTTTAGAATAATTTTGGTTCTCTTCTCGAACAACTAAAGGAACATTTCCACTTTTTACATTGCTCTTATTTTGTCTCTCAGATTTCAGAGAATTTTTATTGAGACTTTGTTGAAGAGTACCATTTTCATCTATGCTATAGAAAGATGAATTTGCAGTTTTAAAACTTGACTCTTGTGAAGATTCTGCAGTACAATAAACACTACTTGTGATGGTAGAACTACCATCGCTATTTAATTCTGATTTCAACTGCTTTATTTTTACCATTCTTTCAATCACTTCGTTATTGTATGGTACACCACCATTAACCTTGATTTAATTATAAATAACTAAGTATTAGATACATATCATTAATAAAAAGGGATGAAAATCAATGATCATACTTCTCGAACATCAGCTCTTTTTGAAGTCATCCATGGCTGAATGTCAATATCTGTGTTTTGATCAAGCTTTAAAGACTAAAAATCAAAATATGATCTTATAACAATGTATAAAAATAAATTTATAAAAATTACAAACATTGCCATTACCCCATTTTTGCTTTTAGATTTTTTCTCCTTGCCATACATCTCATCCTGAATCAAATAAAGTATAACATACGAATAGATACAGAAAGAATGAAACAAAAGTAAAAATAGTATATCTTACAAATGCATAAGGACGTTCTCCTACTGCAGGAAATTTCTTGTTAATGTTGGTTTTCTTCTTTTTTTTCTCCACCTGTGACCATTCTACCTTGATTGATCTACTTGGATCAATTGAACAACTTTTATTTATGAAATCCTGAACAGCTGCTTTATTCATATTGGCTGTAAAAACAATGTCAAAATACAGTCAAAATAAAATAGGTTGAATACATAGATTAAGATACAGTCAAAATGAAATAGTGAAATATTTTGTAGGTACACTAAATTAACTGTGCAATACGTTTATCACTTATGAATGACCATAGTAGCATGTCAAGTGATTTCATGAACTGTCATAGAATAAATTGTTTAAGAATATAAAAATCAATACTATTGTTAGGAAACTTACACTAGTTTTATTTAATACTGATATCTTCTGAAATACTTGAAGTTATTATGACTCAGTTGATGGACGATTTGTCGACGGTTTTCAATGGATATATGAACAAGATAAATATGAACTGGGAATTTTTTCTTCTTGTTAAAATTTCATGTTAATGGCCTTTTTACTTAAGAAATATCACTTCACTCTAAAAGTATTATAGTTTTAACGCACGACATCCATGAAAAACTTTGTTAATCTACTTAACCTCAATCTATTTGTAAAATTAATCAAAACAAAAGAATCCGTGACCTCGGACGTCTCGTCGGCTCGTTCTAGTTCACACTGGTCAAACGATCGAACCCCAGCGAAAATCGTATTTACTCACAACTTGTTGCTTGGCAGCACGTGCCTAGAGGGATGACGTTCTCAAGGTGTCGCCATCTAAGCGTAGGCATTCGCGATTTTTCTAATAAACTGTATATCAGATACGTATAACAGTTATAACAGTAATACTTGGTATTCTTGCTACATTTCGTATTCTTATATTGTCGTCACAATATCTATTGAATTCTGAGGTAAAGAAGACCCAAGTTCATTTGGGGCCTCTTTTGACTCAAAGTTGACTCAAATAGCATTACACCTAAATAGGCATCTTGTTCTATTTTTAAATTTTACGTTTTTTTAGAATACAGTGGATGTTCGATGAATTTCGAAGGTTTACATAGAAAAAACGTGGGACAAACACTATAATATTTATAATGAAAAAATTATAAGAAAAGAAATAATACTCAAAAAATAATAACCAGAATTACGGATTTTTTTAACAAGAATTCCTACTACGTCGTATTATGACGTTACTGTCTTCATGATGAAACGTATCGATACACGAATTTATGTAAAAAAATTAGTTACGAGCAATAAAAAAACGATGAAAATTTTTACACGCATTTTGTCAGCGATTCATCGAGACATAGTCGTTGCAATAGCCTCGAGTGCAAAGAGCCGACATAATGCGCAAACCGAGTGCATTTTTGTTTTTAATATTTTTCCATGGAGTCGCGTGCCAGCCCGACATCGCCACGATACTAAGGGCGGGATTGGATCTCGTATCGGCGGCCTCGAATCCCGTCGATTTCGCCCTGGAGACTTTCAATTTCGTGCAAGTATTGCTCGGCAACGGCGAGCAGGAGGACTCGGGCCAGATCTCGGAAAAGCTCGACGCGATCAGCGACCAGCTGAACCAAATTTCCGAAGAGATATCCGACTTCAAGGACGAGCTTTACGAAAAATTGGATCTGATCGTGAAAAACGTAGAGCTGAAGACCAAGTTGGACTCGGTTTTCGACATCATGAACCAGATCAATTCCTACTTTCTCACGTCGATCGAGATTCAAAAGCCCAAGCGCGTTTTGAACAGTACCCTGGACGACTTTTTGAGGATCGCCACGACCATGAGCCCGCACGGCTTGAAGTACCTCTTGAGCGAGTTGCACGTGCTGCTGGGCCAAGGCAAGTGGTCCGACAGCATCATGAAGATCCTCACCGACCCGCAATTAGTAAGTTCAATATATAAGCCCGTCTAATTGCCTTTGTGTAGCGAATTGAATTGCGAATCCATTTAGGAAGCAGGATTCGTTTGCGAGAGAAGGCAATCGCACAATCAGATCATATACAATTTGTACAAGATGATTTACATGTCCGAGTTCAAGGGAATCACGACGATGTTATTCGCGTATTACCACTTGTCCAAGAAGGAGCGCAGTGAGTCGAGCTTGAATTGAAATTTGCCTCGATCGCGAGCGCAGCCCGACGATTGAATTTTTTTTGTTTCGAGCAGGAAAAGGCGAGATACCCGAGCTGGTGATTCTCAGAAAAGAGTACAACAGGAGAAGCACGAGTACATTGATGGCTACGAAGAAAGCGATGAGCCGCGTGTCGCGAGATTATTGGCGATGCGAGCCCGGTGAACAAATCGAGGGTGAGTTTTCAAACGCGATATAGGCGTCGACAAAAAAATTCACCGTACACTTGGAATTTTTCGTAAACGCAGCCAAAACGTACGTACCGTTCAGCCCGTTCCTGCAAAAGTTCGTGATGTTCGAGCAGGCGGCCGAGTACGGCTCGTGCCAAGGTGGCTGCGACAGGTACGATCACATCCAAATGGCCATTGGCTGCTCCATTGGCTACGATCCTTCGTGCGGACTGCATTCTTTGAAAAAATGTACTGGATTCGTCAGAAATTGCGAAACATTTCACGATTACTTGACCATTTGCAACGCGAAGGTATAATTGTTGTTAATGAAGTTTGACTAAATTGAGTCGAGAGATTGATCATTTACTTCTAGTCCAGTGACGGCCAGTACAGATACAAGTCCATTAAAGATTCGAACGGCGAGGTGTATGGTCTCGATGACAATTGCGACGGCGATTCGACGACTTGGGCCGAATCAAGGAGAAGCTCGAACCTCCTTTACCAGTGTGAAAATTGCTTGTGCACCTGCGAGGACCTCAGAGTAGAGCTAAATAATTACATCGACTTGCAAGGATCCACTTCGGATATAACGCAGAATAAGTATACGATTTGACTGCCGTTTACGTTATCGAATTCTCATTGTTCCGTTTCGTTTTTTTTTCGCGCGCGTCGAATCGCAGAGTCGTAACGGGCGTGGCATTTCGTATGCTGAGCGGCGTCCTGCACATCGCCATACAGCAGGGCAAACTGCGCGAGAACGGCACGATCGAGAGGAGCGAGGTGAAATGGAAAAGAGTCAACGATTATATAGCCGAGGGTCGAAGCGTCAAGCAGGGCGAAGATTATGTCCAGCTCAACTGGGATCGGCGGACTTTCGCTTTGAACGAACCGATCGACGTGCCTGACTCGCACGCGGTCACCGGCGTGAGATTTCAGCTCGACCGAGGCATGCTGCGTTTGGCAGTCAGACTGACGGAATTCGAGTTCGAGACTGGCAATCTCCTGACAAGTACTTCCTTCTGGATCAAAGGATTTCAATCCAAGAAAGAAATGGAGTACGTATACGTTTGCCCTCGAGCGGTTCGAATTGTTGAAGTCATCGAAAAAATTTTCTTTCAGAGAAATCGTTCTGAAAAATCCCGGAATACCGACGAATTATCAGCCTCACCTGCCCTACACCGATCAGAATCAGTTCATCGTGCTGAGGCCCAGTGGCATGAAAAAGGACGTGGGTCAAAGCGTCGTGCCATTCGTCGATACTTTACCGGTCACGCCTCACTTTCCGGTGCCTCTGGAAAAAGTCTCGCTGTATTACAAAGGAATGGCGGGCTCCGGTGGATATTTATCGTTGAAACTCACCACTTTTGCCTACGAAACCATGATGTAAATTTTTTTCGCCCTCGGAGATTCGACTTTTCGACGCATCTATTGTGTGTGTTCGGTGCGGTAGAATATAACTTCTTACAAAAAAAACTTATTTCTATTGAAATTCTGGAAATATATTCGTCAACTTCTTTTTTGCGCAAGTAGATGAAAAATCGACGAATTTCATCTACGTTCAAAGTTTTTTACATTTTCAAAGAAATACATAATGTTGCTTGATGAACTGGTGGATATAAAATAAATATTAACATACAAATTTATAAGCCCAAAATAAAGGTATGCTTTGTGTCAAAGTTACAGCGTTGAGCTCACGTGTGGATTTTGTGCCATATGTTGGCGTGAAAATGTTGAGCTCGAGCAGCAGCAACGGCAGAAAATGCCGCCTTGAAAAGCCAAGGCAATAGAGTATGTAAAAGAATGTACAATTCCCCGCGGAGTGGCTTGACGTTTCATCTTGGCTTTCCCTCGCAGTAAAATCTCTTGAACTGTTTTTGTCGGCTGGTGTGTCGTGTATATAGTGGAAAATAACAACGACGGTGTCGGCGACGACGACGACTCGGCGTAGCAGCTGGCAAATGCTCCTGTGCATAATACAGCAGTCCTCCTGAATTCTGCAGGAATGGCAGTCCCTGAAAAGCCAGGGGGATAAAGTAATAGACTTTTCCAATCGGAATAATAGCTTAGTGTAACCGGAACGGGCTTTGCTTTATTTATTATTTACAACGCAGCGGGAGTCTACGTTGATTTTACTCGAGAATCTAATACGACTGTTCAAAGTGAACGGGAGAGCAAGGCGATAGAAAAGGGTAAGAAAGTTTATAGGATATGAAGTACGCCGTTGCGCTTGACAATAAAACTCATTTCTTTTCGTTCGTCACTGATATTTTTTTTATTAATCAAGAAATGATGGTCGAAATTCAATTACAACGATTTTCATCGTGTTCACGGTAACAAATTATTCAAGTCCGCTGTAACAATTACATTTTTAAGCTTATCCCTTGAGATTTCGAGGACGTGGACAGTCAAAAAACTCGAAAAATTAACGTTTTATAGAATTAATGAATCGTGTTTCTGTAATCGGCAAATAATTCCACTTTGCTTTATCGAGTGAGATTTTATTTCATATTCATTGTCATAGTCATTGGTTCAACGTGCTCAATTTGATCAATTATACAAAATGTAATAAAATTCCTTTTAATTCGAATAACAATCATCAGCTGAGCACCGAAACAAATGTGAGTGAATACAAATTTGAAATACTGATATTTTGCAACGTAACATAAATATATCGTCAATTGTCGTATCATGTACATTCGATTAGTGCCTCCAACACCCTCGATACATTATTATTGTTTTTAAAAAATATGAAATACTAGGAAATGACAGGACTTTTATTTATATAAACAATAAATATAAATTACTACGTCGGCACAAATTTTTAGAATATATTCAGTTCATATGTTCGTCGGTTCTCAGTGCATCTATGACAATCATGCGTAATTATTAAGATAGACAATATTTTATTCTTACGTTTCTTCCACTGCATTATAAACGATATATCCTATTATGTTTTTATATTATCCACTCGTTTATTAATATTTTTATCTATATTTTTGGCAACGCTTCAATAAAATTAATTCTCGTGATACCCCAGCTGAAAGTAACAGTTTTTGGCTGGCGCAAAAAGACGTTTTTACTTTCTGCCAGGGGATTCACGAAAAATAGTACATCACGCACCTACGCCGTCTTTAAAGAAAGCCTCGGTTTATCAGCTTCTTCCGCTAAATGTACGTGCTTTAAGATTTACCTTTTATTTCTGGCCTAGCTACATGATGTACTATTTTTAAACAAATCGTCTTCAAATTCCATAACAATAATTTTAATCATAAGTTCTATCAAAATTTTAAATATTCTCGAGTCAGATTATTCGAGTAAGAAAAAATTATTTCAAGTTACTACATTAAGCTTGAGAAGTTCTTTTTAACTTTGCTCGAGATTACTTTAATTCAGCTGTAAAAAGAAATCCCCGCGAAGTTGAGATTTTAACTGCTCGAGGTACTATTATTATTAGTCGCGAAATTATAAAAAAAGAAATGAACATCATAAAAATAGCCTGCAAATTACTGCCAGTTGCAATGCAGAGAAAATATTTTCGTCATAATATATAAATAATAACTGAGAGTATATTGTAGGCATCTACATTTTCCGCGCAAATTTAATAAGCTATAGAAATTTATAAATTTATCGTTTTAACACATTTATCATCATTTATTTATTTGCCACATTGACAATGCAGGTTACAATATATCGATGTATTACATTTTAATTGCATTAATTATTAATTAACTCGATAATAATGCACTGTATAATTTATATATAATATAATATATATAATTTTTTTTTGTAACTTTACGTTATAAAATATTCAAGTTTAATTTTCACGTAAGACGAAATTTATATGCGCATATTTTCCTATGTATCATTTAACAAACAACCCTTTATGAAACCCTTGAAAATATCCATCGAGTTTTATCTTGTCATATATGATTTATAATACGTAAACAAACTTGAGTATGCTCGTAAGCATATATTTACACATTCATGGATTATTTTACGCTCTACTAGTAGTATGAATAATAATGAGATGCGGCTATATTTAATTTACTTTTTAGTTTTCTGTTTTAATTATGTATACAGTTTATCGTTTAGTTTGTCATTTATTTTTCATTTTCTCGATTGTACAGTACGTACAGACAAAGCAAAGTACGTATATAAAAATTCTTTCCCTCGAGCATTTATACAATTTTTACTAAAAATTACTCCCTCGAAACCTATATCGATAAATCGTTTTTACCATTGAAATAGCAATTCGCTCGAAAATTACGATATCATTGCTGTGAATTCTCGTGCAGGCGCGCGGTGGCGTACACTACACACATATAGGAGAGCAGCTAGCAACGGCACCAGCAGCACCAGCGAGAGAAGAAAAAAAAAGGAGAAGAAAATAGGGTCAAACTAAACCAAGCGTACACCACGAGGGCGAAAACCCAATCAATTTTCCGATCAGTTCGCGCGCGCACGAGAGACATCGACGACGACGACGCTTCGTTGCAGCAGCGGCAGCAGCACTGGCACTGCAGCGAGCCAAGGATGTGTATGGGTATGTGTGCGCGAGCAATGTCTGCTCGTCGTCTCCGCACCGATCGGATAAGTCTATATATCTCATCTTTCTGCCCCGTATATATTTCGCGCGGTGGTGATACTCTTCAAAATAATCAAGCGTATTTTTTTCCACGAACTTAATATATACAGATATATACGATATATAATATAGTATAATATATATATTCAACGCCCTTAACAAAGGGCATCGCGTTTCGAGTTCCGAAGAGAATAGAAACTTGCTACACTTTGTTAAGGGCGTTTGCCTTTTTTCAGATTATTATTCTTCATCTGAGAGATTATCTTATTCTCTACCCGCTACAGAGTTCCAGGTTATTATACACAGTCGATCCCTAAAGGTATATAATTTTCTTTTACTTTGAAAATTCATTTATCGTTTATAAATTAGCCACTTTATAGTTTCCGAAGCGCCACTCTAGAACCAATAAGAAAAACTCTTCGTGCTATTTATACCGTGGCTTTTTTTTAAAGAAAAGATACACATAAATTATAAGTTGGAGCGAGTTTGCGCGTCTTGCAGCTGGACTGCATCTCGAGACAAGGTGTCGTTAATCCGCCACGCACATTCAGCGTTAGTGACCCGAGCTCCCTCTCTCTTTCTCTGCCTCGGTCTCTTTATCGAGCACAGAGCTTGCAACGAAACGACTCAATTACCCGGGGCTCCGCAGCATACAGTCAACTGTATATACGTACGCATTTGTGTGTGTGTGTGTGTGCGGGCCACGTTCTTATATTTGCAGCTAGCAGGATGCAGGCTAGCCGGTGCAGCAGCACTACAACCACTTACTCTCACTACTTACTCTTTGGAATTTTACCGAGCGCAGAGAGTAAAGTCTGTCGAGCTTGCAAGCACATGCGCACACACATACCGACGCTAGTTCAACGTATACAGAAATGGGCTCGCGCGGGCGAGAGAAAGAGCGAGGCAGCGAGCGAGAGAAAGCTTTGACGTGTGAATTTAGAGCAACGCATAATTTAATTATTCCACGCGTACTTTGTGCCTCGCGCGTGAAACAATATTATTCCATAGCAGTTGAACGAGAAGCGCACAGTGGGGCTAACGCTACTCTCCGCACTAGTAATATCACTGCAATCTATCTGTCTCGGCTTTTATCATTTCACGCGGAATAATGTCCTCGCGCTTATTTAGTATCAAGTAATGTACACGCGGCTAAATGCATTATATATATATATATATATAGAAAAGTACAAAAATGCCTAGCGAAAAATCATCATTACGTAAGAAAAGTTTGAAAAAATCGCAAAGAGCTGACGAGTGGCAGCAGCAATCCCTCGTCGATCCACGAAGCGTCTCAAATGGTAAGATAGTAGGCCCTCGGCCGGCCCGACGCCGACAGGGTCGGGCTGACGACTATGCCCGCCGGTGGATTGTAGCGGAAGGTCCACGAGCGGGGCGGATACTTGCGTCATCTGTAGGGCTCGTGGCGCTTCTTGCACTTCTCGCGGGCGATGTAGCACAGCGCTATGGTGATCAGGAGGGTGATGGTGATGCCCATGCCGACGCTCGTCCAGATAATCGTCTCATTGACCCCGCTGTGGGCTCGACCTGTCGACAGATTTTTATACCAGCGATTATTATCCTGCACCAGACTATAAGGGAATACATAAGGATTGCCTTCTCCTTTTCGACGTCGTCGTTGTCGCACGCGTATCCTGTAATGCACGACGCGCGCGGCTATAAATACACATTAGTCGGCAAGCTAGAATTATGGCAATGTAAAAACCAAGAAAAAATGCTCGAGAGCTATATTTCAGAAGGCCTCGCGCACGAGCTGTTACTGACTTTTGCAATTTTTTCCCCCGTTGCTTTTTTGCTCCCTCTCTCTCTCTCTCTAGCTTACACGAGCTTGTGCACGCGTGTAGTTGCCTCTAAATCAGGTCAGTCGCGACTTTTCATTCAATTTCACCTCGAAGTAGCTTCTCGAGTCTTATTGTTTCGAGAACTTCATGAGTGGTGTGCGTATATCAGGCGAATGAAGCATTCCTAAGGAAATGAACTTTTGCCGAGTTCAAAGTTCAATTTACAGGCGGAGGCGAAAAAAGGTAAACAACAGAGAGAGATCTTGTATCGTGCGTTTTACTGTCTGACGCCTTTGCGCATACGTTTGTACACGAGTACGCTTGTTTGAAATTGCGAGAAATAAATAAAGAGAATTGTCGGTTTAAATCTCATCACGCGTAATTCAACAAAAGAAATTCCATTAGAAGCGGTAGCTCATAAGAACGAAGCGTCAAAAAAATATATAGCCGAGTCTTTGTGCCAAAATCTACTCGAGGCGCGCGGACACTGTAAAAGTGTCGAGCTTTTTTTTGTCGACGAGTCGAGTCATAGATTCGACATAATTGACAGGCTTTTAGACATGGTATGCCATACGCGCGCCTCGTGTTAATGCAAACCATATTTTACGCGACTATATACGCAAGTCATCGCGTATAAGCTCAGCTGGAGATGGCTGCACGTGTGTAGGTGTGTGTGTGTATGAGTGTGAGTATCTGTGTTTGAGAGCGAGTAGCAAAGATGCTTCATTGAAGCGCAAGATCTGACTTCCGACACGACGCACCAGGGAGATCTTGATGATCAGAGGCACCTGGGAAGGCAACATTAATTTACTCCCTCGCTTTGATGCCTTGAATTGCTCTTCCATGTCGATCACTCACATCGAGTCTGGCGTTTTTGACGGTTTTTACAATTTTTTCGATTAAAAGTTTGGCATTTTTCATCGAACGGTTTCCCTTGTAAAAAAGCTCAAAGAAGCGCGGGGGTTTTATCCGCAGACTTTTGACGACTTCAGCTGGCATTGGATATAAAAAATGAAAAAAAAGAAGAAAAAAAATCAATGTAAGATTTGTTCAGACTGATCCTTCTCTCACGGGTAGTCGTGCTTTTATCAAATGTAATACCTGCGAAAGCTGCATAAAATATCTAATCGATATATATGTATATATTCCGGGGAGATACACTCGTACACAGCAATATCTTTTGTTCGAGTTCTTTCTGATTTATATTCAGTTGATGCAATTTTTCACCTGGCACGAGTAAAATGTAAGGCTAGACTAGCTCCGATCAATTCAATCATCGACTCTCGCGGATGCTTTTTATTGGCCGCATCAAAAGTTAAGCATTCCGTATATAAAATTTGCCACGAGTATAAAGTAATATCGGGATAGCTGGATTTACATAGAGAAATTCCGGTTAAAACTTGCAAAGCTTGCGAAGCCTCTCTAATACACCGAGGCGTACAGGTTATTATGATTATGTGTATACATCGAGTATAATCATAAACGCTCGCAGCAAGCGATTTATAGCCAGCCGTACACACGTTAAATGGCATTTGAAAGCTCAGCAGAGAGTGTACGTCACGCTGGCGGGCATCGGTACAAATGTTAAACGCGTTAAAATGACGTTAAACGAGCCCTGTTCGTGAGAGTCGGACTTGGCACGTGAGCGGCGCGTATTTATCGAGCTTTATTAATAATACGCTTTGCGATTAAGTCGTTATCAGCTGTCGGCGCATTATTTAAGAGTCAACTATTATTTTAATGGCGTTTAAGATCCGACTGCGAGTATATACGAAAGCCGTTGAAACGCATTTACTGATCCTACGAGTCGTGTGTATTTTATGTACGTGCACGCGTCGATCTGTGACAATGCATATATATCGAAAGTAAAAAAGAAAGGAAAGAAGGAAAATAGCAGAAAAGAAAAAACGCGGCGTATGTGTGTAATATTATCGAGAAGATACGAGAGCCGCGCCTCGATGTTGCTGTATACGAGAATTGCGAGCATGTGACACACGGAATTATCGATATTTCAATAACCTGCCAGTTGTTGCTGATTCGTATATACGTATACGTACAACGCGGGGACGCAGCGAGAGAGAGAGAGAGAGAGAGAGAAAAAAAGCTCGACAGCACGAAGCAGCTTGGCTGCAGCATTTGCGCGTATAAACTGAAATAAGTAGCAGTTTTTACGAGCTCAAATGCTTAGAACGGCATATATTTATTTATATACATTTTGCAAAAATCTCTGAGCAAACGAACGAATGATTCGCGCGCAGGCACGCCTGCACGTATGCTGTATCATGCCACGTATATAAAAGTAGCGAAACGGAAATCACCGCAAGCGCATTTCGTTTTTGCCCAAGCTCGCTACCGTCTGTTTTTTGCGACATTAGCCATACGCGCAGCGGCAGTGGCAGCAGTGGCAGCAGCAGCAGTAGCAATGACAACGGCGCATGCAGCTTGCACCCAGCAGCCATACACGCGCCCGCGTATATTCAGCTATATCTGTATCTCGTCGTCGCTTCGTGTGGCGCAGCAGTACGCGCGGAGATCGTAAATCCAATGGCTTTCGCGTAATACGTATATGGGTCAAAATAATACTTTTTTACAAAACCGTGCGCACGTATGTCACCGATCTTGACGCGCTTTTGGTATATTATAGTACATGGTAAAAAGGTCCCAAAAAAAAATTTTTAGACCCCCTCCCCCCTCCTACCCCCCACTTCCGGTATAAACGTCCATTTTCGATCTATATTTTTTCTGAGGACATGAAGCAAGTAAAAAATCTGAAAAAATTCATAAAAATACTTTTCCACAATCCAAACAACCTTGAATTTTTTCAGATTTTTTGAGTGCTTCAGGCCTTCAGATAAAATCATTGAAAATTTCAAAAATCGAGATACGGCGGTATGAGCCGATGTAGTACTCGGAAATTTTTTCAGTTATTTTTCGCATTAAAAAACATAACCTCAATTTTTTTCAGATTTTTTCAGATTACCTAACGCACCTTTTGAAGCCAAAAACCGATTTTTTTGACGAAAATAATTTTTTTAGGACAGTACGGAGCCTCGAAAAATCTGAAAAAAATTTTTTCTTGTTTTTTTCATCAAAATACGTAATCTCAAATTTTTTCAGATTTTTTAATTGAAGGCGATAGCTTCTAGGGCCGAAAAATGCTATTTTTAACAAAAAATGGTTCCTAGAACCCGATGGTTCCGGTGAAAAAATTTGAAAATATTTTTTTTGAATTCCTTGTCAAATTTTAATAAATTTTGACCGTTTCAAAAGTTCGATTGAAGCTTCCTAGCTCATTTTAGAGCATCAAACGAGTTTTATCATTCCTTAATGTCTTCAGAAACGTCTTCAGATATTTTGCACTAATCTTTGTCCTGCTCTAAAATGAGCTAGGAAGCTTCAATCGAACTTTTGAAACGGTCAAAATTTATTAAAATTTGACAAGGAATTCAAAAAAAATATTTTCAAATTTTTTCACCGGAACCATCGGGTTCTAGGAACCATTTTTTGTTAAAAATAGCATTTTTCGGCCCTAGAAGCTATCGCCTTCAATTAAAAAATCTGAAAAAATTTGAGATTACGTATTTTGATGAAAAAAACAAGAAAAAATTTTTTTCAGATTTTTCGAGGCTCCGTACTGTCCTAAAAAAATTATTTTCGTCAAAAAAATCGGTTTTTGGCTTCAAAAGGTGCGTTAGGTAATCTGAAAAAATCTGAAAAAAATTGAGGTTATGTTTTTTAATGCGAAAAATAACTGAAAAAATTTCCGAGTACTACATCGGCTCATACCGCCGTATCTCGATTTTTGAAATTTTCAATGATTTTATCTGAAGGCCTGAAGCACTCAAAAAATCTGAAAAAATTCAAGGTTGTTTGGATTGTGGAAAAGTATTTTTATGAATTTTTTCAGATTTTTTACTTGCTTCATGTCCTCAGAAAAAATATAGATCGAAAATGGACGTTTATACCGGAAGTGGGGGGTAGGAGGGGGGAGGGGGTCTAAAAATTTTTTTTTGGGACCTTTTTACCATGTACTATAATATACCAAAAGCGCGTCAAGATCGGTGACATACGTGCGCACGGTTTTGTAAAAAAGTATTATTTTGACCCATATATATACATGTATGTATTTTATGATGCGCTATCCGAGCGGCAGGGCAGGAAAAAAATTCTCCAGCATGTATATTGAGTTCACACATCAACGGAATAATCGAATTTTCTTGATACTGCAGTAGTACAGCAAAGCGCCCCATGAGTTTTTTGTGCGAATCGATGGCACACGTTACATGCCGCTGCTGCTGCTGCAGCTCTCTCTCTCCCTTAAAGCAGCAACGATTTTCAATGGAATCGAACGCTTTCGTGCCGAGAGTTCGGTCGTGCGGGATTTTTTATTGGAGCCGTGCGCGAGAACGGCACGTACGGAGCCAAAAAATTAACGAGAATATCTTGTTAGGATAGCCCCCGGGCTGCTCGTGTGCGAGAGCTCAGTATTTATCGACGGATGCCCCCGGCCGATTAACAACATTCACCGTAGCGTTACCAGCGACTGCTTTGGAATCGCCGCACACTCACACTAACACACACAAACACACTCACACAGATTCGAAAAATATTTTGTACGAAATTCGTACGCGGCTGCACCGAATTGCTGCTGACGCCGTACGCTTGCTCGGTCGGAGAGCGCGCGTATTTTATTGTAAAAATATCGCTCGGCGATATGAATAAAAAAATTCCCATTTCCATCAATTT